TTTTAAAAATCAATAGTAATAAATAGACCAGCATTTGCATTGTTTTCTCATCAAGTTCTATACAACCATACATTTTGCGATGAGACGGGAAAGAATGCAGGTTTCAGGGACTGAATTTTACAGAGTCTTTTATTTACAGTCTATGCACAGAACACATGGCATTGTTAAATCATTCATCACATAGGTTATTAATTATACATTTTATATAACTCCTCCTGTTTAAATGCAACATACAAAAGCATAATCAAATAGTTAATTAAATGTGTTGTTGTGTTAATTGCAATTACAGTAGAAATAAATAAATAACATTTTATTAAAAACACAATTTTTAAGTTTAGCATTAACTTATTCAACGATCAACTTATTTTAAGGCATATTTGATTGTTACGCTATTTGAATTGTTTCATGCTTCCTGTGCTTCAGTCCATCATGAAATTATTTGAACTGTCACTGCAGCACAGACCCTACCATCTGACTGTCTGACTGGCAATAATGTGTATTGACTGCCTGCTCTCCTCTACCCCAACTGCCATGATAATGCAACTCACCAATCCCTCCACACAATCAGGTGGAACTGTGCCGTCGGCCCCCTGCGTCTCTTTTACTCTTGCTGTTCGCTTCCCAGTCCTTCTGGGGGTTGGACCTCTGTGGGTGTTGGGGGTGGGGGCTGGCCTGGTGTGCCTCCTGGTGTCTCCATGAGGGTTAGCTTGCTGTGGTTGGGTAGGTGCTGTGGCAGCTATGCGGGGGCTCCATATTTGCATCTGTTGTGTCGTCTCTTGGTTCTAGGTGGGGCGGATGTGGTGCTGGGTGTTGGCAGCGGTGCAACCGGGGAATGACTGGGGGCTGGTGGGTGCTGCCAGCTTGGCTTTGTGGGGCTTTGGAAAACTTTAAATAACTAGTAAAGCACATAGTAAAGCTGAGCTGATGTCCTCTAGTATACTACTGTCTCACAGTCCCCCTATAATCAGATGTCTGCACTCCTGAGTGCACTTTCCAAGCAGGAAGTAGCGAGTACAAACTCTTTGTAGCTGGTATTGAGAAACACCCAAGGAAGAGCAACTGCAGAGCGATGGGTGAGGTTGTCAGATAAAAATAAATCCAAGAAGCGCTGCAGCACGGGGACCATATATAATGTAACATTCACAAGAACCAGACGGTTGGGTCTCAGTTTGTCCGTTTATTCGCCACATAAGCAAGCGGGTTGCTAACTCAGGGGAGAGCGCCCTCGTGCTACACCTCTCTTCAACCTGGCACCCACACAACACAGAACCCAGGTCCCCCCTCCCCTTCCTCCACACCACCCTCCCTACTTCCTGCAGCACAACCAAACATGAATCTTAAAAGAACAACAACAGTGTGCAAAGATAACCAACATGTACAATAACACTTAACCATCGTTACACTGCCCCCCAGCAATAAGTTCCTCGTCCCCGAGGGAACGACACAGTCTCTGAGGCGGGGTGGTAGCCTACGTTCCCTCCTTGACCTCCTGAGCCCCTGAGGTGGGCGCGGAGCGTCGGGGCTTTGGGGTGAAGAGTCCGAGGGAGGGGAACGCAGCCCCGGTCGGGGGCCCCTCTGAGCAGGGTCATGGACGCTCTGTACACGTCCCTCTGGAAAGGAGGGGAGGGACTGCCCTCTGTAGGGGGCCATCCGGTCTCTGTGCAGCGCCACTTTCCTCCCCCTAGGAGGCAACTGCACCCTGTAAACAACCTCCCCCACTCGCTCTAGGACGCTGCAAGGCCCCACCCAGCTGCTATCCAGTTTAGGACACCGTCCCTTCTTTCTCTTTGGGCTGTAGACCCACACCAGCTCCCCAGCACGGAAGTGCCTCCCCTTAGTGGTGATGTCATAATTCCTCTTTTGGCGCAGGCCTGCCTTCGCCAGCTGCTCCCAGGCGTAGGAATGTGCAGAATCCAGCCGGTCCTGCAGCTTCCTTGCGTAGTCCCGGCCTGGTGGTGCTTCTGGCGCGTCCGGGGGCTTCCCAAAAGCCAACTCTGCAGGAGTTCTCAGCTCTCTCCCTAACATGAGCAGGGCAGGCGTACATTGGGTGGAGTCTTGCACTGCCGACCTGTAGGCCATGAGGATAAGGGGAAGATGGTAGTCCCAGTCCCGTTGGTGTTCTGAGGTAAGGATGGCTAGCTGCTGGGCCAGCGTCCTGTTAAACCTTTCCACCAGTCCATCGCTTTGGGGGTGAAGTGGGGTGGTGCAGGTCTTCTTGATCCCAAGGCGTTCACACATGGTAGCAAATACCTTGGACTCAAAGTTACGCCCCTGGTCACTGTGGAGGGTCTCTGCTGTTCCAAAGCGGCTGAACATCCCCTCCACTAATACATCAGCGACAGTCTCAGCCTCCTGATCTGGGATGGCGTATGCTTCCGGCCACTTGGTAAAATAGTCCATGGCCACAAGAACATAGCGGTTTCCTCTGTCTGTGCGAGGAAATGGGCCCATGACGTCCACAGCTACTCGCTCCATTGGAGCCCCTGCTGGTTGCTGCTGAAGCTGAGCCCGGGACTGGTCCTGTGGCCCTTTGTGTGAGGAACATGCATCACAGCTCCGGCAAAAGTCCTCCACATCCCTCCGCTGTTGACCCCAGTAATAGCCCTGGCGGAGGCGGCGGAGAGTCTTAGAGACCCCAAAGTGGCCGGAGCCAGTGCTCCCATGGCAGGCTTCCAGCACCGCTGACCTCAGCGACCTTGGCACCACAACCTGCCACCTCTCCTCCCCCGTGGCAGGATCCTTCCAGGCACGCTCCAACACCCCCTCCTTCAGCCTGAGAGCTGCAAACTTGGCCCATAGCCCCCTGGTACAGATGGAAAACCCAGTGACCTCATCCCAAAGGGGTTGCTCCTCCCTCTCCAGCCACTGCAGGACCGGCAGCAGGTCTGTGTCTTGTTCCTGCCGTGCCCTCCACTCCGCTGCATCCACCACCAGAAGAGCCCTGCAGGCGAGCTGTGCTGCTCCGTCTATTGTCGTGAGTTCCCGCTCTATTTCCTCTCGCTTCTCACAGTAACGGCAGCCAGCTGCAGCACATGGGCAGCGAGAGAGGGCGTTTGCGTTAGAATGGTGCGTCCCTGCTCTGTGCTCCACAGTGAAATTGAAGGCTTGGAGCTCCTCCAGCCAGCGAGCCACCTGTCCCTCTGGCTCCCTGAAAGACATCAGCCACTGAAGGGCAGCATGATCAGTTCTGACAACAAATGCTGTGCCGCACAGGTAGTACTTAAAGTGTCTCACCCCTGCCACCACGGCCAGCAGCTCTCGTCGTGTGACACAGTAGCGCCGCTCACTCCTGTTCAGGACCCGACTGAAGTACGCCACCACCTTCTCACCTTCCGGCCCAACCTGCGACAACACAGCTCCCAGCCCCACATTACTTGCGTCAGTGTCCAGGACAAAAGGCAGGGTGGGGTCAGGGGGGGCGAGGACTGGGGACTCTGTCAGCGATTTGCGGAGGGTGTTGAACGCCTGCTGACAGTCCTGGGTCCAGATGAAGTCACGGTCCTTCTGCAGCAGGTGGAAGAGTGGTGCGGCTATGGAGGAAAAGCCCTTCACAAACCTCCTGTAATAAGACGCCAGTCCTAGGAAGCTTTTGAGCTGTTTCTGGTCTGCTGGTGTGGGCCACTCGGTAATGGTGTGAATTTTTTCCTCCAAAGTGCTGATGCCCTCACGACCCAGCTTGTGGCCCAGAAACTCCACCTCCCTCCTCATGAAGTGGCACTTGTCGGGATGCAGCTTCAGGCCTGCAGCCGCCACCCTCTCCAACACTTGTCTCAGGGCATCCAGGGCAGCATCAAAGGAGCTCCCGTGCACTAGAAGATCATCCAGGTAAACCAGACACCGTTGCCGTGGGACGCCAGCCAGCACACTGTCCATAAGCCTCTCGAAGGTCGCAGGAGCGTTGCAAAGACCAAAGCTCAGGACTTTGAACTGCCATAGTCCCCTGTTAGTGCAGAAGGCTGTCTTCGGTCTGGATTCCGGGGACAGTGGCACCTGCCAGTAGCCACTCCGCAGGTCCAGGGTGGAGAACCAGGAGGACCCGGCTACTAAGTCGAGAGACTCATCAATCCTGGGAAGGGGGTAAGAGTCCTTCTTCGTCACTTTGTTGAGTGGTCTGTAGTCCACACAGAAACGCATCCTAGGACTTTTTTTCTTAGGCACCATCACCACCGCGGAGGCCCACGGGCTATCAGATGGCTCTATGATGCCCGCCTTCATCATTTCACACAACTCTCTGTCTGCAGCCTCCTGATGAGCCAGGGGCAGGCGGCGGGGGCGCACTTTAATAGGCTGGGCATCCCCGGTCTCAATGACGTGCTCTACCAAGTGTGTCAAGCCAACATCACTTTCTTTCAGGGCAAAAATGTCACTAAACTCTTTTAGTACCTGCCATAGACTCTCTTGCTGCTGTGGAGTCAGCCCCTCACAGTTCTTTGACCAGATACTCCTCACCACCCTCCCTACTTCCTGCAGCACAACCAAACATGAATCTTAAAAGAACAACAACAGTGTGCAAAGATAACCAACATGTACAATAACACTTAACCATCGTTACAATAAGAATTAAAAGGCGAAATAATTTTACATCTTTTTAAAATAAAAATGATGCTTTTAATCAATTAGTTATTCATTTTCAATTTTAATTAATTAACAACACGTTTAACCAATTTCTTAACCTTTTATTTACCATTTCGGGTTATATAGAAAATTAAAATGGTTAAAATGGATGATATTAGGATTGTATGAATCTTGGAAAATAAAGGGCTAATGGTGTATTTAGTTATTTTATTTTGGCACTCTTGGGGGTCCGTACTCTTCAGCGTAACACTGTTTTCATCTTTATTTAAAAAACAAATTACATCTGAAAGCACCTTGCGTCCTGACGTCAGCGGTTCGCCACGGCGACACGGTGTGTCGTAGTGAGAGATGACGTGATCAGGAAAAAAGCTGTCCGTTACCGGGAGGAAGAGGGCAAGCGTCCTGCTCAGGACAGGTAAAGATGACGGGATGATTTACTTAAGAGCGGGAGAAAGAATAGCGATTACTGTTCAGTGATCAGTGACTGAAGCCATGAGCAGTTTGTTATCGATGATAAGAGAGACGGCGCGAAGGAGCATCATTAGTACTTCATCACACTGCAGCTCAGGGTGTGTGTTTGTTTCCTGCTGCAGGACCACAAAGACTCAAACACGCCGGGACAGTCTCGTCCACCGGAAAAACCGCCGTAGGATATAAAAAATCTTTTTATATGAAATTACACCAGTAATTGATCCAGAATGAATGTGATATATTAAACAAACCCGGTTTAGGCTCTGTGTCTGTGGGTCTGTGGATGCTGGCAGCAGATTCGATGAATCAGCTGATATTGTGAAAATCTGTCACTTTATTAGGTACACCGGTCTGTGTAAACTATTCGAATTTAGTGCAACAGCTCTGCTATAAATGTGACCTCTAATGAACCCAGTAAACTAAATGATGTATTTATTTGCGAGGTCATGGTTAATGACTGTGTTGGACTGAAGTGCTTTTAAAAAAAAATTCTCTTCTCTTTGTGTCAGGGACCAACGTCAATATTAAAGACAACTGTCACCATATAATAGCTGCTACACCCCCAACTCTGCAATTTAGATAAGGTGTGCAGGTATGCATTATAAAGTAAATCATTATACTCGAGACTGTTTAGTTTTTCTAATGTGTCATGGGGAATGAGCCTTGCTCATTAGCTTCAGAAACTATTTTATTTATTAACTAATGTTACTTAGTTATGGCTGTAAAGTTTTATCATGATATTCAGGTAAATTTGATGTAATGATATTTTTGATAATATAGAAAAAGAAAAACTGAAACATGTCTTATCAGTGAGTGCAGGCAGCAGGATCAGTGCAAACAAAAAGAAGGGCATTTTCTGTCTTTTCCAATAAGTTCACTGATGACAGACTACCTAACTCGATGAGTAAATTTGTCAGGATGCAGGTGCAATAAAGCGCAGGTCAAATGTAAGCACTAAAATATCCCAGGTGCTGGAAAATTTAAGTAAAAATGTACCATAACTATTTTAACACATTAACAATACATAAAGTAACTTAACTCTTCAGAAACTGAAGAATATTTTCTACCTGAGATGTTGCATCTAGGTTTATTTTCTTTTTAAACGGTTACTTTAAAACCACCTTTCCCACCATGTTACCTTGTTCTTGCATAGTATTTTTAGACCAACCCCTTTTTTTTGGTGGGTGGCTGTCATGTACTGACCCTGATCGCTGGTTGCTTCAGTCTCCATGCCAAAGTACCCTTGGGCACAATACTGAACCTTAAGGTGCTCTCTTATGTAGATGAAGTATAGAGAAAAGTGCAGAAAAGCTTTGTATGAAAAACATTACTAACATGACCTTTTTACCTTGAGACCTGCTGCTCTTGGTCTCAGACATGTTTGGGCTTATGTCATTGTTGTGGGCAATGTTTTGCATAACTAATGCAAAACTAACAAGCACCTCTGATTGTAAGGCGATAGGAGGCAACCTCTCAGCTGCAGCCTGACTGACAGACTGCACTCACTCTCAGAGAGACTGTTGAAGGTTTGGAAACAACTGCTATGTAATTTGTAAATGCAGACAGATTTCCAACATGTTTTCATTAGACCGAATGAGTCTTTGTCATTTAGCACAACTCGAATCGAGTCAACTCAAATCAATTTACTGACCTTCCAACTAGTAGATGACTCACTATCATCTAATCCACAGCCTCCCAAAGATCCCTGAGGTAGTTAAACAACTCCTTAGTGGCAGTGCCTGTGGTTGGATGAGATTTCGTCCTGAGTTTTTCAAAGGTCTGGTTTAGTGGCCTCAGGATCTCATCTCTGTTTTTTTGCCAATGATGTGGTTTTGTTGGCTTCATCAAGCAATAACCTCCAGCTTGCACTTGGGTCATTTGCATCTAAATTAGAAGTGACTTGGGTGATTATTAGGGAGAAGTCTTTGGCAAGGTTTCTCAGTTGGAAAAGGGTAGAGAAGTTTGGCTACGAGTGTGGGGAGATTTGAGTGGCAGATGACAGAAGACTGACGCGCAGTGGTGCAGACTCTGTATCTGTTTGTTGTGGTGAAGAGCAAGCTAGGTACAAAAGTGAGACTGTCAATTTACCCGTTGATTTACATTCTTACTCTCAACAAGCTCTGTGTAGTAATCGAAATAATGAGAAGGGCTGAAAGAGTGCCTGGGCTCAGGATTAGAGGTAACGTGAGGAGCTTGGTCATTTGGGAGCTGCTTCCCAGATAAACAGCAGAAAGCGAATATGTGAACATATTAAATGACGAGTACTTGGAGCTAGCTTTATATACTCACTCAATGTTCAGACTGTCCTTATGCATGTGTGGTAATATTCACAAATGATCCAAAGTAGTTGGTGCATCATTGCACAAACTGATGCATTTCTGTCTAGCTTCAGAAATGTTTATCATTGTATTTAATTAATACTCACGTTTTAATACATGCTACTGCTCATTTCTCATGGACTTGCACACACTTTGATGTATTCTTGCACCTGCCACTGATCACAACATTTCTAACGTCCAAGTATTTGCACATCATCGGGGGCCAAATGTTTTGACCATGGAACAAAGTTAGTTTTTCATGTAATTACATTCAAATATTATTTTCTACATTTGTGTGATATAGTGAAGAGGATCCACAAGGACTTCACAAGATGCAAAAACAGACATTTTGTTTAGAAACTGATTCCATGAGCCAAATTTAATATCAAAACATTGAAATAGAAACTAAAAAAAATTCTGTGTCACAAAAAAGGCGCTTATGAAATAAGAGGCCAAAAGGGCAGGAGCTTGAGCGGTGCCTGCTCCCAGTGCAGAATACAGAGTACCTACAGGAAACATGATGTGTGTAATTTCTGTTATCGTACTGAAGAACAACTTGACCCTGAACAGTTCAGTAATAACCTCAATCCAGTCTGAACTAATTCTGGTTTAGTTTGGTTCAAGTTATTATTAAGTTTGAATATTGATTTAGGACACAGTTTCATGCACTCTGTGCAAGCCAGTTAACACAGTAATTTTATGGACTCTATGGATGTGATAAAAGCAATGAATAAAAAAAAACAACAACATCATCGCCATTGTCTGTCAGACTCCAAACCACATTACATCAGCTTGTATTTTAGCCTTAATCCCTCCCTCCGCTCCCTCATGTTGCCATGGCAAACCATCACCTGACAGCTGGATGGGGGTCAGGCTGTTCAGTTTGATGAGACAGAATAATCGGGTATTATTCAATCAAATTCAAACTTTGTGTTTGAATCAGGTTTACTTGTTTCTCTTGTGACTGTAAATAAAATATCTTTGGTGAAAACACTGACTGGTTATCCTACATCACCAATATTTGAACTTGTGACGTTTTGATGCTTTATTGTTAAAGTGTGAAAATACTGCTAAATGCAGTGTGTCACATACACAGCTTATCATTTACCTTTTTTTAAAAAAAATTGAGCCAGCAGTTATTTGGTCCTTTTCTACTCCTTTCAACCACATTATAATGTTTATTACTACTATATCTGAACCCAGCGTTTATGTGACATTCAGACAGTGTTTTCTCGTGCTTTAACACCACAAAACTCTATGGTAACCATGTTATTAATATATGGCAGGTGACTCACCATGACGACAGAGCTAGGTGAAGCCCAGCCCACAGAGGCGGAGTCTTTCCCTGAAGCTGCCAACCACTCCACACCGAAACAGGTAAAAACACAAAGGATAGAAGGATCAGTAAACATCATGAGATCAATACTGCTGTGACATCACTTCCTGCTTCCTTAGGGTGAGAAGGGTGGGGTGTCCCAAGCTCAGGGCTCCTCGGCAGAGGACTCATCCAGTAACCTGTCGTCAAGCAGCTGGATTGCTCGCTCTCCTGCTAGAAACCCACTGAGCTTTAGAACAATGCAGGCCAGAGTGACCCTGCTAGATGGCTCCATGTTCACCTGCACCGTGGAGGTGAGATGGCTTGTTCGTGTAAAGGGGCATGGAGATGAGGAAAGAGTGAAGACAGATGGAGTACCGATAAAAGATATAAATCACAACAGAAATAACAATCAGGAGGGAGAGAGCCCAAAATGACAAACAGTAAAATCACTGACCTATTTCTGTCTGTGCTTAGAAACGAGCTCGAGGTCTGCAGCTGTTTGAGAAGGTTTGTGAACACATAAACCTGCTAGAGAGAGACTACTTCGCTTTGTCCTTCAGAGATGCTGACAATAACAAGGTACCTGTCCACCCGTCCATCTGTTTACTGTCTTCCACCTGTCTTTCTAACCTCTGACCTTTTCATTGCAGAACTGGTTGGATCCAGGAAAGGAGATGAAGAAGCAGGTCAGAGGTCAGTATGGTCCCACAGCAAGTTGGGCAGGTTAACCCTGTGTGTTATACAACTCATCGCTGTGTGTCTCACAGGTGTTCCCTGGAACTTCTCTTTTAATGTGAAGTTTTACCCTCCTGATCCTGCACAGCTGTCTGAGGACATCACCAGGTAGGCTCACACACCTGTCAATCAAAGCTTTATAGTGCATGTCTCACTTGTTTCCATGTATGATGACGCTGATAATTTTTTCTGCCTTCAGGTACTTCCTGTGTCTCCAGCTCAGACAGGATATAGTTTCTGGTCGTCTTCCTTGTTCGTTTGCAACTCACACCATCCTCGGCTCCTACACAGTCCAATCAGAGCTTGGAGACTATGATCCCGGTACTCACTCTGCCCTATTATACTACTGTGACCTCTCTGTCCACATTTCTCTCTCACTCTGACCGCTCGTGCGTCTGTTTACATATTTCAGATGACTGTGGTGCAGACTACATCAGTGAATTGTGCTTTGCTCCGAATCAAACTAAAGAAATGGAAGAGAAGATCACAGAGCTGCACAAAACCTACAGGTTGTTCACCGCACATATTTTTTTCTAAACGGTGTCAATATTCAGAGCAGCAAAATTTTTTAAGTGTATGACTGTGTTTTTAGAGGAATGACTCCAGCTGAAGCAGAGATGCATTTCCTGGAAAATGTAAAGAAACTTTCCATGTATGGAGTCGACCTCCATCATGCAAAGGTAAAGACACTGTTGACAGTAAGTCCTGTTATTTAAAAAATAGCAACAACTTAGTTTCTACCCTAAATCATCACAATAGTGATCGGTTATCTATACCAAACCTGCATGTTTCCACCTGCACACAGATAAAATTGAGGCATTTTAAATACTTAGCAATATTGCAAGTCATAGATAATTCAGGCAGCTACCAGTTATTTAGTGTGACAAGGACTAGCTATGCATTATGAAGCATTTACAAATGAAATGGAACGAGTCCAGCAGTTCATAAATACACAGGTGTCAACATTATATTCTTAATAGATGTTGTAGTGATACAGCAATTCATGATTCGTTCAGGTCTTTAGAAAGCATTTTCTTAAAGGGTGAGGCTGTCCCGAGGGCGGCCCGACGTCCTCTAGTCCTCACTGCCCGGTACCATGGAGACTGGCATTTCCCACAGAATACCAGAACTGGCAGGGCCACCGCTGGTATTAGCTTTTCACAGATGAGAGCTGGTTCATCCTGAGCTTATGTGACAGAATTTGATTTTCCTGGTGTCTTTGAATTCAGGCCTCTGCAGGCTGATCCTTTCATTCCCAACACATTACCCAGGCCTTATCAGTAACTGACAACCAGCATGCTTTATTTTTTATATTGAGATTTGATATGTTTTCAAAGTGGTTATTTAATGTTTTAAGCAGTGTAAAATCAGCTGATTCCCAGGTCAGGTGCAAAGCACTTATTGATTTCACTGAACAAAACATGTATATGTGAAAGAAAATGACAGATTTAACTACTGGTAGCCAAGCTAGGATCCAGAGGCTTCGACCGTTAATTTTAACTGATGTCAGTTGTCAGATTCGACTAGATTGAAGCACTGTTCGTCTTCTTTATCCTGACCCCACGATTATTAAATGTGCTCAGACTGTGTTCGTCCTTGAATGAACATATGAAAGCACACAGTGTGTTTTGGTTTCTGGACCCAACAATCTGATCAATATGGATGGCCCAGTTCCTGTCAAGAGTCAATTACATGTGAGTGTGTTTGTATGCATGTGTGTGCATATTTGTTGACAGTAATGGTTTTTCCATCAAGGCTGTTTTCCACTGATTCACTGTGTATGAAACACACATCACAGAATGACATTTTTGAAGAATGGATGTCATTCTCTGCATTTTGTGTCATTTTGCCGTGTGTATGCGTGTGTGTTACCATTTAGTGCAGCTACAGTTTTGGAGGATTTTGGAGATGACCTCTATGTCCAGTTGATGGAGGAATCTAACCAGTATATTGATTCAAACTGAATTCAAACAGCCAGAGCAATGACAGGAGAAAATTCCCACAGCAAGTAATATGGCTGCATCCTACAGCTAGCAGTTCAATATTCAGGCCACAGAGTAATCACTTTGCCGCACTTGTCTGGAATTATACCACGTTTATCTGCTAGTGCCATCCCTCCACATTTCTTCAGATTAACTCTCTGTTAAAAAAAAAAAGGTCACACCACAGTGCAGGAAATGTGAGTGTACAATCCCCATGATGACATATGCTCCTCTTAGCTCTCCATTTAGCTCCAGCTTTTGTCTCCTCCATAGCTCCTTTGGGACAACAGGCCTTGCTCCAGGCAGAACAACTGTCGGCCTGTGCAGATTTTTCATCACTTTGTATGTGTAAAGGAAAAACACAAGCCAACTTCATATGAAAACAAAAAAAAAACCAGGTGCTTGAGCTGTAATATCCTCACCATGTTACCAGAAAAAAACAAAAACTTATGACATTCCCTTTCTTTCAGCAGTTTATACTTGTTGTGCTATAGAGGAAAATGCCATTAAATGTAATTAATTCCAATTATATAATGACTATGTTTTCATCTTATTGTTACTTTTTGTCACCCCAATTTTCTCGTTTTTGCCTTTGTTTTTTTATGCCACCTTTACCATGATTCATCCTATTTCCCATGGAGTTTGTGCTTTGCTGAGGCAAAGCTCAAATCCTGCAATCACAGAATTGTTGATCATGGTTTCCAGGATTTATTATAAGACACGAGCATGTGCACTTATCTTGGATGATTGAATCCATCTCGACTTACTTAGTTCTCCTGAGTCATTCATACATCAATCCATTTTCATAGTTGCTTATCTATTTCAGGATTGCAGAGGGGCTGGGACCTATTCCACTCAATGGGTGTCCAGCCAATCTTGATGCAAGAACAACAGGCCTTTTTTCCCCTTGACTTTACCACTTTACCATTTACATTATTTTATTTTATTTTTTACATGTTTCTTTGATATAATGGAGAACGATAGCAAGGATCTCATATGTTGCAAACACTTATAGGAAAATAAATAAAAATTTAGTAGCCAATGACTGCTAAACACTGACACTGCCTAATATTGCATAGAAGTAAAGGCAGAGCATCTGAACAAGAGCACACTTCTGAAGCTGAGGGTGGAGAATTAGTGGATTCAAATATGAAGATGAGGCAAAAAACTGCAAAATGACTGGACATACTGGCCAAGGTCTATGGCTCAAATGTATCTGTGTACACAAACATCTTCTCAGAGAGTTTTAGTCTATACATTTCTAAAAAAAACTTAAGAAAACTCTCCCAGTAACTCTACTTGAGGCGACTCTTGTTGTGATTTGGCGCTATATAAATAAAATTGAATTGAATTGAATTGTGGAAGGGCCTTTAGGCTTAGTACGTTGTTTGGTAAGTTAAGTAAGAAATTGTGTGACTGGTTGTTAATAAAATCGTGTTGCAGACTGGATGTGAATTTGCACAGAAGTCCATGCACATGCTGATAATTCATTTTACCTTTTTGCTGTATTCAGTTATTAACCATTTGACAAACAGAGAGAACCACTTTTTTCTCCAGCAAGGCTGCAACGTCTGTGAATTCTCTTTTGTAAATTTATAACGTGTAAAATGAAATGACGTGCTTCACAAAATCTGAATTTTGCGGGCTGTAAGAGACAAAGTCGTCACTCCCGCGCTGTTGTATTTTTCCAGTTGTTAAATATCATTGAAGTCATTACTTAAATCTTTGCTGCCGTGGTGTTATTATGCTCCGTAGGAGATAGGTGCACCTGTCTAAGATATCCTGTTTGATGGAAACATGCTATAAGTGGCGCATGTACATGTGATCAGTGAGCAGCTTCATTTAAACAAAGAGCACCACAAAGATGAAGAAACTTGCTTGCACTGAATGACAGTAAGCTAAACACTGATGGTTAGCGCTTGCAGGGACGGTAGCATTACCCTTTAATGTTTTTATGTACAATGGTGTTGTAATGGTATAAAACTGGTATAACTTTAGACCAGCTGTTCTGTTGTTGCTCGGTTTTTTGGTTTGTTTGTTTTTTTATTTGTTTGTCATCTGTCTGTCTGTCTGAATGGAGTAGATGATAGGAAGCGGCTTTGTTTGCCTGTCTTCAGCTAAGTCAGAGGTAAGACTCTTTCCTGTGTGTAGGCGTGTTTATATGTGGTTGTATTTTAAATGTGTATGTGTGTGTTAATCCAAACATTTCCATCTGGATGTTACTGTTTTTGTGTAGAGTTAGTTATTCATAAACAGCTCCTGACTTCACAGTAAGCCTTAAATCCACCCCCATGCTCCCATTTTAAGCATCAAGTAGTGCTGATTAAAAGACGCAACTGAGAAAACTGAGGCTGCTTGTCTAATGTAACACTTGATATTCTGATTCTCTCAGAGCTGTAATCACAGTTTAAATCTCTCATGTGTCCAGATAGAACTGCAGTCTAAAGAAGTTTTGAGCGATATAGTTTCAACAGAAACTGAGAACCGCAGATTTCAACAGCTCAACTCAGATTCAGACCTGCACCGAAAAGGAAAATAACAGCGGCTTCATAAGAACCTCTAAAAACATTGAAAAAACCAAATAAGCAAATTTTCTAAGCTTTGTTTTTTTTTTTTTTAATCAAACTGGTGATGCTGCATCTTCATGTAATACAGACTGCTGGAATTGACTTAGAAAGATGTTTAGCTACTGCTTCAAATAGCTTCCCAAATAAGCACGATTCATTTCTCCCAAAAGTGTTATTTCAATCCCAATTTAAGTGCCCGAAAATATTTTAAAACCCTTTCTTGGTTTTAGGAGCCATCTACAATGATAAACATGACTGGAGAGTTCTGTGTTAGTTTGGGTGTTTTTGTGTATTTGTGCAGGACTCAGAGGGTGTGGCCATTATGCTGGGTGTGTGCAATAGTGGTCTGCTGGTCTACAGAGATAGACTGAGGATCAACAGGTTCTCGTGGCCAAAGATCCTGAAGATTTCGTACAAAAGAAACAACTTCTACATCAAGATCCGACCAGGAGAGGTAAGAACACACATTGATGACTGGCCACAAGGTGGCTTTATTTCACTCACTGTTAAACAGAGTATTATGATACATCTATGTTGATATATCTATGTTACACTGACCCTTATGCTATACTTCAGCAGCGTAATGTTTCTGTAATGTTACTTAGTCCCTGCAAAATGCTCAAGCATAGTTTGACCACTGAATGAGAAGCCATTTCATATCCAGGTGTAGACTGTTTCCTCATTATTTTACAACAGTTTTCTAAAATAAATGGTCTTGAGTTGATAGCATTTGGTTACGTCTCATAATTAGCAAAAAACATAAACATAATAATTTGAGTGTTTTGAAAGGCGCTTTCAAATAAAACTTATTATTATTATTAATGAGCAAAAAACATAATTTTCAAAGATTGAAAAAATTCAGGGAGTGGCAAAATAAACATGCTGCGTATTCCTGCTTAAAAAGAATTAGGTCATTCATAAACTTCTCTAGTGCTGTGTCTGTATTACAGTGGACTCTAAATCCTGAGTGAAACTGTTTGCACAGTGCGCAATGTGGGAGTCACTTTTAACCTGGTTACAAATAAACAAGTGTGGCTGAGCTGCTCATCCTATTGCTAAGCACAGACACACTTCAAAGAAAACTTGTTTACATTGCTTGTATCAGCTTATTGGTTTGTCACCATAGGTGAACACTGGAACGTAGATCAACCAGTAAATCAAAAGTTTTGATTTAACCTCCTAAGACCTGAACTTTTCCACAGCATGCATTTTTAATTTCTCTTTGATATTTGGGCATATTGAGGCCCGATGAATGCAAAAACAAAGAATTACCAGCTTTTTTTTTTTTTTTTACCTTATTTTTGTTTTTAAGGAAAATAAGAGCCACATATGAGGATATTCATTTAAAATTTTGATAGAACAGTAGCAGTATAATGTCCTCGTAAAAGGATATCAGGCCCTTGCAGAGCAAAATTGAGTATTTTGGTCTAAATCAGCAAGCACTCCAGCGGGTGGTGAAAGAAGCTGGCAGAATTATTGGAACAAGTCTGCCAGAGATCAGTAATATCTTCCCCACTCGCTGTCTGAGGAGGGTGCACAGTATCCTGCGGGACCAACATCACCCTGCGCGCCACCTTTTCCATCTGCTGCCCTCAGGGAGAAGGTACAGGTCTATACAGGCCAGAACATCCAGACTGGCCAACAGCCTGTATCCACAGGCTGTGAGGCTCCTGAACTCTCTGCCCCCCTCTCACGGACAATAACCATATCCAACTTCTTAATAGCAATGAACTGGTCTGCATTGGTGCATCATATCTTTATTCTCTTCCCCCTCCTGCCCCCCCCCCCCCCTCTTTCTTAAATAGATAACTATCATATCTGATATCATATCTCACAGTACAATAATATTGAATGGGTTGCATTGTTGTATTTTGTCATGTTTCTCAGGTCTTTGTCTGAATTTCTACGAACATTATTGCTAAGGATTGTCTTATTGCATTGGAGTCACACTGGGTTAAATATGTACACTTGGGTTTTAAGGGGTATTTATTATTTTCTTCTTTTTTTTTTGGGTTGTATGGAAGCCCCAAACGCAATTTCATTGTTCTTGACAATGACAATAAATAAATAAATACTAAATACTAAATAACCCAAAATGTGATGTCCACATATGTGGACGCCAGGTCACACACCACAACAGCAGATTAGAGTGTTCACATTACTGCAGATCCTTCTGTCTGTCAATACCGCCCTCCACTCTTCCCACCTCACAAAAAAAAGAGCTGAAAATGATAAAACTCTTCCACTCACTCCAAACCCAGAGTGGGCGTGGAACCGTTTTCTATCTGAGGACCAGGGCCTTAATCTTGGATGTTTCTCACCAGTGTGGTTTATATTCAGATACACACCACTTCACTGCTAATTGAAGTTCATCATATGAAGACTAGACCACAGACCATGGTTAAGACCATCCTCTGCTGCTTGGCTGGACACAGAAATTCTTTCCATAAAAATTACAAAGAGAATCTTTGACAAAGAGCAGCTCTGGCAGAGTCCATCAGCCACTGCTGAACTCCCGTGCACACTTGAGTAAGGTCAAGAGCTGGTCCACACCCATTGCTCTTAATCACTACAACCGATGGACGGACACTCCTCCCTGAGACCCTGGCACAGATTATTCCAGGGAGACTAAGACGTATGATCCCCTGAAATTTGGAACACATTCTCTGGGCCTCTTTCCTGAAAAGAGGAACCCCGCCTCCAGTCTCCCCGTCCAGAGTTACTGCTCCAGACCTGCAAGAATGTTGTAGAGGCTTGTAAACCAGAAACACCCCACCTTATTCAGACATCACATTCAAAATGTGTCTGAATTTAGTTTAGTGATATTGGTATAGGATGTGCGAGAGTGACACCTACTGATGGGTTTATTTTAAAGCTAAGATGTTGATAAATAATCTGTCTCTCCCCGTCTTCAGTTCGAGCAGTTTGAGTCCACCATTGGTTTTAAGCTGTTCAACCATAGAGCTGCTAAGAGACTCTGGAAGGTGTGTGTGGAACATCACTCCTTTTTCAGGTCAGTCAAGATCATGTCACAACGTGTGGTTTGTTTCAGAAATCATGCGATCAGTTTTGTGACAGCCATCTTTTGTCTCCTTACTTCTCTCTGGTCTGCCCTCCACCCTGTCTGTGTGCTTGTTTTTCAAATTCTCCTCATCTCATCTCCCCTTGCTCATCTCCATCTTATTCTCTTCCCTGTGTGTCTCTCCTCTCTCAGGCTATTATCACCAGAAGAAACTCCTAAGAAGTTCCTGACTCTGGGTTCAAAGTTTCGTTACAGCGGTCGGACTCAGATTCAGAGTCGCAGAGCCAGTGCTCAGATATCCAGACCAGCACCGCATTTCCCACGATGTATCAGCAAGAGGAGCATGTTGAGCCGCAGTTTAGATGGAGGTACTCGTGAATTCTGCATCAGTTATGTTTCCCAGAGTGCTAACAGGGTTAATATGGGTTATTAGTGTTGCGCATTGTAAACAGTTTGCAATGAGAGAACTGGTCACTATAGCTCTAGCTGTATCATACTGGTCCAAGTAGTAATACTAGTGGCAATAGTGCATCCAACTGTACCAAGTTTGGAAGTCAAATTTTTCCTTGTATTTACTGGAATATTCCGAGTACTAGACCTGTACTACCAAGGAGGAATGGGGAATTTGAACTATGAGTTTGTTTTTCTTTCCAAGGCCAACTAGGTCAGTCCATATTTTTTAATGTTGTACCAACATTGTCCATTTATATGAATATGGTACTCGCTGTTTTATAAGTATTAATTGTAATCTTGGTTACTGGATTTTTGTGAAGCCACATAACAAAAACATATGGATATGTTTTTGTGTTAGCTAGCTCAGCAAAGTCAAAATGACTTGAGCAGTATTATCAAAGTTCTGTGTGGAGTAGTATGCACTGTGCTGACAGCTGGTTAAGTAACTGAACCAAGGTTTGTGTCTATGTTTTCTATGTGTGTATGCTCCATGTCATTCTTTCTTTCCAATTGTCGCACAAATGCAGTGAGCCACAGTCAAATTTCACCATGTGAACACATCCTTTGCTCAATCCAGTAGCAAACTGCTCATGACCAGCACAAGTCATTTGGAATAATGGGTTTCATTGTTGCATTGTATTGTGAGTTTGTCTTCTCTCTACCATAAACTCCGTTTTATGCTTACTACCTATACTTTTCCCCCCTCTTAACTTTCCCCTTACCTCACAACTGTTTGTGACAAATGGCTGCCCTTCCTGGTTCGGACAGTTAAAAGGGAGTTCGTCCTCCACACTGTCACCAAGTACTTGCTCACATAGGATTGTCTGTTCTTTGGAGTTTTCTCTCCAGTATTGTGGGACATTGAGTCAACAGCTGCTGTGAATTGGCGCTCTTTCAATCAGACTGAAATGAATTATATGAAGAAGACTGTTAGGTACTGGCTCTATGCCTACTGCATAATTTTAAGTGTAATTTGTATGTACAGTCCAGGAGAAAATCTTTTTTGCTTTTTTTTTGGTTTAAATGGGGGTATATTATTGTATTTATATCCTGTTTTTGTTTCCTATATACTCCCAACAACAACAAAAAAAGAGCCATTATAAACCTGCATAAAGATAAACTTGTTCAGCATAGGTTACTCTACAGTTCTAGCCAGGTTGAAAACAAGCAACCATCCTGATGCTAAGAACTCTGACTCTAGGTTTAGCATACCTCACTAACCCATTAGCCTTATGTTTAGGTTCAGCACTGACTGATTAGTTCATTCTTCCTCAGTATTTGACCAGTTTGTGATTGGTTCTCAGCTTCACAGACTGGACCTACCTCCTCTCCGATTGTCTCTCAAGCCATCACAGCTTCCCCAAAAGTCAATGGTGGCACTCACACAGGTAGTGCTCAATACTGCAGTTGCACTGCTACTGGCTGCTGTGGTACTGCTCTGTGACTGGGCTCCGATCGCTTTATTCAGCTTGTTCAGGAATGCCGTGTACTTGGTTACTCTGCTTCACTCCGATACACCTGATAACAGCTGTACATTTCTGTTCTGTACATTACATTCTGCTCACATGCCCTCAGACTTGCATCCTGTTTTCAGCAGAATGCAAGACTATTACATGTTTGTCACATGTAAGGTTAAACAACCACATCGCTCAAATAAACCTGTTGCCAATATTTTGATGTCCAGATAATTATCTGACAGAATTTATCAGTCTCAGTGCACGGTTATGTTGACACTAGTTATTAGCCCCATTAACCACACAGCTAACAGAGCTCAATGAGCCATGATATTCAAAATAATATGCGGTCATGGCTTGGTGGTGGTTCTGAATGCTGATTGGCCCAGGCTACTGTGCATGCACCCTGAGCTGTTAATTGGCTGAGTGTGCCATTACTCTGACAGAGAAGTCGTGATGCTTTGCTGCTGATGAGAACAAACACAGCTTGAATGAGCATCATAGTGGTTGCTGTCTTTACTGTTGTACCTGTTGATGTTATTGTGATGACATTAGGGCTGGTGCACTTCTGTGTGTGTATATAGATATGGGTTCTGGGCTGTATGGAGCATCTAAAGCCATCGCCATCAGTGACCTCATCACAACAGTAACACCTGAGAAGAGAATGGAAGAGAGCAGTGAAGTTCAAGGTAAGAAACAATGTCTGTGGTTGATCTTGAACCAGATACTTAATCTGTCAAATTATCTAAGACCTTGCACAAACTTCTCTTTTTTTCCTATGTCACCCTAGTTGAGGAGGTGCAGGAAGTGGAGAATGTGAATGAAATGGAGCAAGAGGAGGAGGAAGAGGAAGAGGAAAACAAAGAAACAGAGATTTCACAGCAGAGTACTCTCACTCCTCAGAAAATAGACACCAAAGTAATTGTCTCACCTGTCAACCCAATCTGACCAGTTTTCTATTGCTGTGTGAAAAACTAGATTTTGGGCCCCATGTTTGATGTTGTGCTGTGTGGCAGGTAGGGTGTAGGACCCACCTACACCCCGATCCACCTTAAACACAGCTTTAATCCTGGGAAAACAAATTCTTCATGGGAAATAATCTTTACAAAATAAACCAAAACCTTCAAACACTAAACTGGGAAACAAACAGAAACACGAAACAATAATGTGAGTGCAACGCAACACAGGGCAAGGAAAACACAGGGCTTAAATACAGCTGGGAGAAATCAAACTTAACGAGGCAAGGGAAGCAAAACTAGACACACTGACATGAGACACGGACTTTCAAAGTAAAACAGGAAACACAACAGGCACAGACACTGAACAAAACCTACACTAAACTCTTAACCAGAATTAAACTGAAACATAGGATACAGAATAGTAGCAAAATCCAAGAAACTAAAAATGCTGGGTCAAAATCATCCAGAACCATGAAACCATGAAGGCCCACAAACATTTAAAATGGTGTGTTAACCCCATACAGGTGCCATCCTTCTCATTAAATCAAGTTTGTGTTACTCCCAGCAGCTGGTAAAATCAGAAAAATACATATAATACAAACGTAATAATAATCTGACATTCCTACTGAAGTTCTCTATGTGCTCAACTTTATATTTAGTTTTTACAAAAGTAGATGTTTTTACCATTTGAATCCTCGGTTAAAGAGCAGCTTGCAGGCAAAAGATTCTCTTTATTTGCATATAATATTTGTTAGGAATCAGTTTGGAAGTGAACACATGCATTTTACATGGTTTGCAAGAGAGTTATTTGGTGGTTTGTGCAGGGGAAGAAAGGACTTTCTTTCAGTCATGAAAGAAATACATGCGCGGTTAATTTAAGTTCCTGGATGTAAGAAGCCTTGATTAGAATTTAGAAGCCAGAACTGTATGATACTAATAGCTGGTGTAGTTCTTTCACTAGTGTCATGGGTGGGTGAGAGACACAGTTTAACAAAAACCCATTTCCTATTGCTGATATCGACCTCATCAGCTACTCTCTCTCCTGTTGCAGTCAAGCTGATTTTAGAGGTGGACAGAAACTCTGCTACAAAAACAACTTTAAAAGGATTATTTCAATATGTGCATTTTTGCCTCATTGCTTAATTTTCCCTCTGAGGTCCCAAACCTGCAAGTTGCTCTTTGAAACTATTTCAGATCCTACCACACTTCATTTCACAGCAGAAGGCGAACTAACTGGTTTTGATCTGGAGGTTATATTTGCACTGATAATTCAACTTAAACGTTTTTGGGTTTTTTTGCTTACTTACTTTTTCTTGTTCAGACTGAGCTAACTGATACTGCTGTGGACGAAGACCTGACAGCTACTGAGGTACACATCTGTGATCGTATGGTTAATAATTCCATTGTGGAAAGACTTGTTAACATAACCTGTCTCTCTGCCTACCTATCTATCTGACAGTCTGACCAAGATGAAGATTTGAAAACTCAGGTAACACCTGAACTATTTTTTCTTCATATGTGTTGATCCCTCTTCTGTCCTCACTGATGTCTTCTGTCTCATCTTACACCCCCACCCCCCCTGCCCTGTCTTTAGGGTAGTCCTGAGGAGATGCAGAAACCTCAGAGCACCATCAGCGCCCTCAGACGCTCCTTTTTAGAGGGAGGAGAAGGAGAAGGAGGAGGAATGACAGAGTGGGAGAAGCGTCTGGCCTCGTCACCTCTCCGAAGGGTCGATGACTCCCCAATGATTGAACCTCTGGAGCCCGATGAGGTGAGACAGTCATGGATGGGTTATCTTGTGGCATTGGGTTCACAGACACCTGCAGTTGGTAAATGTTGTTTCAGTGCTGTGACTTGGAATTTTTTCCATTAATTGTGATGTAGTACATTGCCACAGTTTGTGGGTTGAATATTTACAATACACATCTTTGAAGTTAAACTGTTTTTTTTTTTCAGGTACCTTTTTTTTGGTAATGTGTGTGTAAAGCTGTGCTCACTTGCATAAAAGTGTTGCACTACAGGAGCCGGTGCCATTATCCCAATTTGCTGTTAGCATGTTGATAAGAAAACGAATCCCAATCTTATCTTTCAGATGTCGGGGTTGCAGACATTTAGACTGTCTCAATAGTTTTGAAAATTCTTCATGGGCCCAAGTTAACCAGCCCCGAGGAAAACCCCCAATAGCAGGAGGTGAAAATAGATCTACAGGTCACATGTCTATGTGCTTGTTGTTACCTCCTGTTGACAGTTATAAACGGGAAATATTGATCTGTATCTCAAAGCTGATTAATTTATGACCCTTACGATCAGTAGAAACTTCCTTGAAGTTTAGTTGCTCTTCAGCTCAACAACAGTAGAATTTAAGCTGAAACTGGTGGAACTTGAATAAAACCTCAATGTAATATCAAATAAACTTTGAATAAGCCTTGGTGAGAAAGATGGCGTTCAGTATCTTGCCCGTCAACATTCACACAGGCAGACAAAGCTGATCTGCATCTGTCTGGCTTCACCGCTGCTACTTTGAGTCATGAAACTGGGCCTTCCCACTGGATTTGTGTATTGTGTTACAGCCCAACCAGTTTCACTATAGTTTCAGAGAATGAAATTCTACTGTTTTATTAGTCTGTAATTTAGCACTAGTTAGCCAGTAGCACTCATGCCATTTACAGTATGTATGAAGCTTGTATTGTTTATATTATTTGTTTATAACACTACATCTAACCACTACATCCTCTCAACAAAACATAGTAACTTCTAGCAACAATCAAACAAAGGAAAAACAAAGAAATATGGCAGCAACCAAATCAGGTGTTATGCTTTAAAGTCCAAAATGACTGGATTATTGCTGTCATGATGGCTATATCTTTCTTTTGCGCTCAGGAAACTGGTCTCGTATGTCACATGATTTCTTGCTGAGTCTGTGCTTATTTAATATTGCTTACCTGTGCGCTCCAGGAGGGCGGGTTCATGACAAACCAAGCTCCTCCTCGGCCATTCAAAAAGAAGAGCTACACAGTGGGGCAGACTTACTGCACAGTCTCTGGCAGGGTTTTTACCATGACGATCATGGATGACAGCTCTGATGCTACCATGACAACAGCAAGTGTCAAACCCTGCCAACAAGTTCAACACATTTCACAGCTCACTGCTGACGATGACATCACAGAGGGACCGCTGATTGCCATCCCTGAGGTAAAGACTCCGACTTCACCTTCGGACCTGCCAGCTGTTGACAACAGACAAATGATTAGTGTGGCTGAAGGTCTCGACTTCTGTGGGGCCAGAGTCTCTGTGAAGTCCTTCCCTGCCACCCCTACATCCTCACTGGACAAGCTAAGCCCCATCTCTGGCAGGAAATCACCTTTCATGGCAGCAGTGGTATGCTGATTGGTTGGTTGGTGGTCAGCATGAAAACAAGCATGAAAACAACAACCTGGCAGCAAAATGTTAACCTCTGCAGCACTGACACAGGAAGCGTGGCTTAACACTGGCTCGTCTGAGCTAGTTCAAACTGAATGTCTTGAGCTCCAAAAGACTGTAGATATCTGAGGGACCAGAGTATCAGGAGACCAGGATCTCCACCTGGTGAACTAGGTCTCCTGGTGGTCTGAAAAGGAGATGCTGCAGAAAAGTTGATTTTCCATCAGAAAAAATTGATTACAGGATTTTAATCACAATTGATGCTGGATTAGATCATAATGGATGTTCTGCTCTGTTGTGACTGGTTGTTTTGCATCTTTTGTGGCATTAGCTGATTTCCACGTAATGTGTGTCTTAGACGGTCTTGTTGCTGACAGGTAGTTTTAAAAAACCAAAAGTTTTTCTTATTTAAAGATTACATGATTCCAGCAGGTTCATCTACCCATCTAAAAGAAATGTGCGACGGTGTCCTGATGCTGACAAATCTTCTAAATTATAAAACTTAAATGGAAAAGTGTGACTTGTTGATATTACTGTTTTTATAGTGCTTTCATCCTATTTCATTGTCTGCCATAGATGGTCAGTGAGTATGTAGCAATCAATCACAACAGAGCTTATCCAATCTAGTGGTGCTGGTCCTTCTCTGTTTTTGATTGGGTTTCCTTCTTCTCCAGGAAGCGGCACCTGTGAGCTGCAGTGTTCAGTTTAAACTCTGCCCAGCTTCTTGCTTCACCTCCTCCCAGAAACCATTTTGTGTCTTCTCCTTTGATCAAAATGGAAAACAGGAAGCTGATCTTTCAAGTTGTTTTCATCTGTTTGTTGTTGTTTATTTATCCTTCGTGAGCTTGGGGGTGTGGCTTAACTCCATTTTACTGCTATTTTTCACTTCTGTTTTGGTTGGTTACTTTGACTTTGTAATGCTTTTTTACTTTGTTGGAAGCTGCTGCCTTTTTATTAACATTCCTGTCCATGCGAGGTGTAAGCAAAGAGACAGCAAGTCACAAATCCACCACAATGAGAGATTTCATAATAAGTTGTCTCAGTACTTCATGAGGCCTGTACCACAAAGCAGGATTAGAAGTTTAGCAAGGTAAATGCAAGTTTAACCTTGTCACCAAAGTGGCTCAGTTCCACTGATGTTGCCATGGCACACTTTGATAAGAGAACCACTACTGATCAATTAATTCAGTTGGAACAAAAAAAGTATCCAACCCTGAGCCAAAGACACTTTTCTCTTAGAGCAAATTGGACTTATTCTTAAAGCAAACTTAGGGATTCTGAAGTTACCCGTAATCCTTTTATTTAAAAGTCAAAACTAATTGTTAATCCTGTAACGTTGTTGTTTAAGAAGCCTCATGAGGAGTGCTTAGAACTGAGGGGAGATGATGAAGACTGGAAGAGAAAGAACTAGTTAGGTGGGGATTGTCTTGTTTTTGTTTCATTGTTTATTAATGTAAATAATGATTGGACTGGTTGTTATGCAGCTCTTTTCTACTCTACCTGAGCACTCAAAGCACTTTGTACAACATCCCTCATTCACCCATTCACAACAGCATTTGTTTTTATGTATAAGTTCTAACATTTACATTTACCAATTCACACTTTAATGGATGAATAAGAGCAACTTGGTGTTAATAACTTACCCAAGGATATTTGCCACCAGCTTTTCAATTAATAGATGGCTTGCTCTACATCTGAGCTACACCACCCCAGTGTCTAGTTGACATTACAGTTTACTATATTGTGAACTTTCCCAAAGGGGTGGCTGTAGCTCAGGTGGTAGAGCAGGTAATCTACTGATCGGAAGGTTGGTGGTTCGATTCCTGGCTTCCCCTAGTGTTCATGCCAAAATCCTTGGGGAAAATACTAACCCCAAATTGCTCTCCGATGCATCCATCGGAGTGTGAGTGTGTGTGAATGTTACTTAGAAAGCACCTAGAAAAAATGTGCTTGTGTAAAGCGCTTTGAGTGCTCAGAAGAGTAGAAAAGCACTATATAAGAACCAGTCTATTTACCAAATGAGCATCATTAAGAAATATAGATCTTCAGGACAAACTCTGTTTCATGTTCTTTTAAAGGAAATTTAATATTTTCTATAAGCCTTAATATAGCAACCACAAGTAAGCCAGTCTGTCAGTTTTCTTGCTGAAGCTTTTTGAATCAACTGAAGACTTTTTAAGGATGTTTTAAGAAATCCTGTTAATAATCAATTACAGTAGTCTAGCCTAAAAGACTGCCTAACATCACTCTGACACAGGATGTTTCTAATTTCAGAGATATTGACTACAGTATGCTCTAATCGCTGTAATGATATATTATGGTCTGCAGTATCAAATGCTGCACTGAGGTCTAGCAGGACAAGCACAGAGATGAGTCCACTGTCAGAGGCCACAAAAAGATCATTTTAACCTTCACTAAAGCTGTTTCTGTGCTGTGATGAGCTCTGAAACTGTAACTCTTCAAATAAAATTCCTCTGCATATGAGTTAGCTGTTTTACATGAGTTAAGGCTAAAGGAATACTTGGCTCAGCAGAGTTCTGACATTGTGTCAGCCTGGCTTCTAAAAGGGATTTCCAAAGATTTAGGAATGTGTTTATGGGAATTTCTCACCATTATTCCAAAAGTGCATTTGTGAGGTCAGACACTGATGCTGGATGAGAAAGACTGTCTTGTAGTCTCCACTTTAATTCATGTTGTTCTGTCGTGTTGAGCTCAGGACTTTGTGCAGGCCGTTCAAGTCCCTCCACACCAAAATCACTCATCCATGGCTCTGTGAACCTTGCATTGTTTACTGGTTGTTACGGCCCTAGCAGGGCCTCCTCCTGAAGGTGCCTGTGTGGGTGTGTCTCCACCACACAAACAGTCACATACAAGCAGCCCTATACCACAACAAGTTACTTTAATCCAAAAAGTTCAGTAAATCAAGCATACTAGTGACCAACCACAAAATGGAGAGCTATGGCCACACAATGATCACATCAAGGGTGATCATTGTGTGGCCAATCACACAATCATGCTGGAACAAGCCATCCAAAAACTGTTCCCATAAAGGTGGGAACATGAAATTGTCCAAAATGTCTGAAGAGTTACTTAAGAAGAGGGGTCGAGCCCAACACCTGAAAAACAACCCCACACCATAAACGCATCTGCCAAACGCCAAACTCAGACTCATCAGTTGAAATTGTCAGATGGAGAAGTGTGATTTGTAACTCCAGAGACCATGCACTTTACACCACTCCATCTGGTACTCTAGAGAGTCCATTAAGCTCTCTATGAACTGTTCTTGAGCTAATCTGAAGGCCACATAAAGTTTGGAAGTCTGTACTAGTTGTCTCTGCAGAGAGTTGGAGACCTCTGTGCACTATGAGAATCTCTGATTTTGCTTTAAAACAGAGTTGCTGTCATTGCCAGCTGCTTCCACCTTGTTATAATACCACTAACAGTGGTATTATAATTAACAAAGACATACTTGTACATTCTTACCCAAAGCTCCTCCATCAAGGTCCTCTCCTCCGGATGCATTTTGGAAACTGAGGCAGGAAGACAAGGAGGCTTTAGATAGGAAAATATCAACATAATTCAAGGCTATTTTAAATAAGCCCACCATGGCTCCACAGTGTCCCCTGCATGGCTGGAGTTTTATTTTGAGACTTTTAATTACAAGTTTCTTCTTTGTTTTCACTGTAACTGTTGTTTTTTGTGTGTTTGATATGTGCAGCCTAAACCTACATTTGATGATATGTCTCCTGAGCTGACAGCTCTGCTGAAATCAGCCAGAGAGCAACAAACCTTCAGAGAACACGACCTGCTCAAGGTGCCTTTTTCACTAGCTGTCTTCCTTGTTGTCCAGTTGTATTTTTGTCTGGCTCTCTTTAACTCCTCTTTCAGGTATTTTATTGCCTGCCTTCTGTGAGTTAATAAGTCTCTTTTCTCTGTGGATTTAATCTCAGTGTTCTTATGTATGAGAACCAGCACTGCATCTTGTCAAACCTACAATCAGTTCTCCTCACTGCAGCTTCTCTCAGCCAGTAAAAGAAATCCAGCATCCCATCTGAAGCAGCTGCTACAGGGTCATGGAGCAGATCGGTATCAGGGTTGTTCTTTATGATCTTGCTAGAGGATGCAGGGGAGTGTGGATGTCTTGCAGGGATGTCATAACAGCCTGGAGGACATGAATCAGATCAGTACTTTTGGTGAAGGGGCAAGGAGAACCCATGCTCTGCTTATGTCCTTAGTGTTAGAACTCGGACCAATAATTGTGGCAATGGAGGGTTCTTGAGAAGCTGAGATGATTTGTTGCTCAGAATGCACAAACCTGGAGACTGAGACTAGCTTTTGAATCATACCATCATACTCACCTCAGTGGTTTCTGGTTATTCTAAGCTGTCCTTTCATTTTCAAGGCTACATATTCACAAAAATATTATAAGTAAAATAAATTAATTTAAAATCCTCAGATCCTGAAGTGCACAGTTTAACTAGTTCGAGCTTAACACATAACTAGCACTGATTAAGAGTCTAATTATAAAGAATTCAAGAATACATTTTTCATCTCAGTGTTCACGTTCCAGCAAATGAATTAAAAGATCACCTGTTTGTAGCTCTTTTGATACGTGGACTATGACAAAGGTTTGTTGTTATTAGACCATGCATGACTTATTTTTATGTAAGAATTGTAATTGTGCTGTTAAAGACCATAAAATGGTCTCACAGCTCTGGGAAAGAAATACGTAAATTGAGGTGACAAGGTCACCAGGATTTGAACTGGTCTAAGATTTCTAGTGCATGTACCTGAAAGAACCTTCACCATGAGGTCGAGGTCACTAAAATTCAAATTCATCTGAGACTTTTAGAAGATGGACCTATGTTGTAAATTTCAAAATCCTACATCGCCTCATTCTCTGATCTCACTTTCACAAACTTGTGTTTCCACACTGCAAACAACAACCCTGTTTAACAGGTCATCTTTTCCAGCTTGCCCGTATTCAGATTTTTACTGCATCACACTTTAGTGTACAGTCCATCTCACTGGTAAAATTAGCTGGCAGTGGCGCGTGGTTGTTCAAAACTAATATCAGAGGCACATAATTTAAATGTAAGCAAGTAAAGTCATGTGTGTCACTTACTCAGTCGAGGCTCCTCAGTACCCAATCTGCTGGTCACAGTTTCATTTGAAAAAGGTTTATGCACAGATTTAAAGTTCTGGTCCTTGCTGTTTTATAGCTGGTGAAATTCTACACACATATAGTGCTGTGGACATGTTTTGAGGGGTACTGGGGTAACTGGCAGGCAGTTGTTTACCAAACCTTCATCGTAGGCTTTCTGTTCTATTTCCTGGCCTTCAACAGCTTTCCGTCCTTTCTACACCATACTCCTTTCAGTTAGTTATGTCGATACTCTTTTCATATATTTTGCCATAGCTAACCTGTTATGTCCATGTCATGCCATCTCCAGCACCACCAGCATTTGGACTCTGGTGGGGTCATTTCCATTTCCTACTCTATGAATAATCACCAAATATTGCTTAACCTCTGTATTTCGAGAAGGTCAGTTCAATTCAATTCACAAAGAACTGCCATTTACATCAGTCCTTCAAATCGGTTTGCAGCAGAATGACACACATGTGCAGCACTCTCATCAAGGAGACATCACTTGTTAAAATAATCACCTAATGTTCTGTGATTTCACTTCGTTTTTCAGACTTCAGAGAAGGTGGAGACAATAATGCTGGTGACAGAGCCACATGACGAGGACGAGGCAATGGTGGACCAGCAAAAGGTAGCAAAAGAAAGTCATGTGGGCATGCCCTTTAGTAATCTACCAGCCAACCCAGCAGGTGTTGACGATAGCACACAGCAATGGGCCTGTGACAGTTTTAATGATGGTCGGGCTAATAGTCCAACAAGTGATGATGATGATGATGATGATATTAGCTACGAGCCCAGCAGCCAGGCTAGCGATGACAATGCTAGTGAGATTAGTGAGGATGCCGTCAGTGTGCTGGTACAGGCAGCAGTGGAGGAGGCCATCGAAGCTGCAGTCAGAGAGACTCAGGCCCCCAACGCTAATGACACTAATCAGGATAACATTAACAACAAGATAGCAGTTAGCTTTTGTGAACAGGAGCAAGCTAGCTCTGTCCTGGACTCTCAAACACCTGGGACTCTGCATTACACTGACAACGAAGACTCAGACGACTCACAGGAAGATGAAGGAGGGTGGCAGTTTGAAGAAAACTCCCCTCCGCCCTCTTTACTCCATCCCACATCCAGGCACTTGGCCCATCAGATGCAACCATCTGCCCACAGGGATGACGATGAGTTCAAACCACTACAGGAGGTAACACCTGAGACACTTGCCCAAATGGCATCTGCGACTCCTATACTAGTTACCCTTGCCCCATTTCACCACCCTGAAACTGCACCTACCCCACCTGACCCAGTGACCTTTGGCCCATTTCTTCCTTAAAATCTAATCTACCCTCTGTTCACATGAATACATCGAAATATTATGTCAGTCAGACGAGAGTTTGATATATTTTCAAACTCTAGGCCGACTTTCCCGTTTTCCTAATTTTGCTTAAAACATAGATTGTATATCAGATGGGCATAGCTTCTGAGTCTTGAAAGGGAAGTCAATATGGAGACCAAGCAACATCTCATTCGACTGCAAAAGGTTTATGAGTGGTTTTAAAGAGGTTTGTGGGAAAACCTCCCTCGGCTCTCTTGCTTCTTAATGTTAGTAATTTTATTTATTCCTGGTGACTTTATGGGCTCAGTGGCTAGTTTGTGAAGACAAAATTCATTAATTTGTAAACTAGAGTATGACCATTGGCTAAGAACTAGACCCCCTTTTAGCTCAGCATTACCTGTTTCAGAATATTAAGATGATAAAGGCAAGAACACTCAGTTTGAGACCTCAGGATGTCTTAACCAGTGCTGGTGCTGGCTGTAAAGGGTTCAATTTTGCCTCTTTTAAGAGGCAACATTGATTAGGAAGATAAACACTCTGGGAATGAGGAAGACTAAGTGTTTAGTTTAAGAGGTCAGTTTGTACTATTTAATTAGGTGAAAAGAATTCAGAGGATTACTTTGAAGTGATGTAAAAGTTTACTGCGTAGTTTAATCAATCAAAAGATGTGTAGTTAATATGAGTAGTACCAGAAATAGATGGATACATAAATATTTTTCCCCAGACTGACATCCTGTGTTTTATCCTCAACATTTATTTTTCATCAGTACAAAAATGTGCTGGTATTTGGTTATTACTCTTCCTCATTGGCTGATGTTCATACTTGTTTCAGAGCCAAGTAGAATCTGATACTCCTGCTGGTCTGCTGCTGAGCTCACACAGCTACACTACCGAGACCTCCAACACCACTACCACCACTCACATCACCAAGGTAACACAGGACCAAGGTACCACCATAATACGCAAGATTTACATTACTGCCATGGCAATACCACCACACACCCATCAACAAAATGACATGATAACTATGGGAGCACTACTGCTACTACATGAGCCCCACACGTGTCACCATGGTAAAACCATAACCTAAGAAATCCCACTGCAAACCATGGTAATATTGTCATGGCTGAAAAGGTTTGTTGAAACTATTAAGGGTTTACAAACAGCATTAAAAAGCTGAGAAAAGGCATAGAAGACATATATGAAAGATAAATACGCTTGACTGAATTCGGATGTTTCTCCCTTTTCTTCTTCAGATGGCAAAAGGGGGGATTTCTGAAACCAGAATAGAAAAGAGGATTGTGATTTCTGGAGATACAGAAGTTGACCACAACCAGGTAGCTTGAATGTTGTTGTTTCTGTAATGGTGTGTTCAAGGGATGAGGACAGAAGGGTTGTTAAAAAGTTAAAAAAAACGGCAAGCTTCATTCACTCATACACAGAGCATTTTATTTTATGCACTTTAAGCAATTAACCACAACATTTGCAACCAATTTGGAATCACCTAACATGCATGTCTTACACTGAACAAAAATATAAATGCAACACTTTTGTTTTTGCTCCCATTTTTCATGAGTTGAACTTAAAGATCTGAAACATTTTCTACATACACAAAGGACCCATTACTATCAAATATTGTTTAAATCTGTGTTAGTGAGAACTTCTCTTTTGCTGAGATAATCCATCCCACTTCACAGGTGTGGCATGTCAAGGTGCTGATTAGACAGCATGAATATCGTGTGCCTTAGACCAGCGGTCCCCAACCCCCGGGCCTCGGACTGGTACCGGTCCGTGAGTCGTTTGGTACCGGGCCGCGAGAGTTGAGGCTCAGGTGTGAAATGTATAGTTTTCAGGGTTTTTATCGGTTTTCAGCGTGATTTTGTTATCGTTTTTATCGTTAACTCGGTTTTCCTGGGTCTTTTCACGTGTGTTATGAATAAATTTTCTTTTTTCTGTTACCGGTACTAGTTTTATTTTGTTGTATTTATCCACGACACCTTAAAGGCCGGTCCATGAAAATATTGTCGGGCATAAACCGGTCCGTGGCGCAAAAAAGGTTGGAGACCGCTTCCTTAGACTGCCCACAATAAAAGGCCACTCTGAAATATGCAGTTTGATCACACAGCACAATGCTACAGAGCTACACTTTCCTAACATACTAAGCTATGCTAGCATGCACTTAACATCAGTCTGCTCTTTTCTTAACTAGCTTAGCATAGACATGATCAGAGTGATAATCTAAGAATAAAAATGTCTCCACACTGTAAATATCAGTCTCAGGGTCTGTTCTGAGAATAATGCCATGGAATCTTTGAACTACAGTGTGTCTCACTGCTCCTTCTGTCTCATTTTCAGGACTGAATCTGGACGCCCAAGGGGTTTAGTATAGAGTGCATTGCCAGAAACAAAACTGTTGGCTGCAGCATCCACCGAGCATGGATGAACTGAGGATTTGGACACACATTCATGCATGGACACACATATATACAGCATCGCCTGCCTATCTCACAGGGGGTGGAACCAATGGCTGAGTTAGCATTAGTTCGATAGTGTGACTAGATGAGTAGATTTAACTGAAAGTTTCACATGCAGCGCAGAGATGGGAGAGAAAGACGTGTTTCCATAGCAACAGACAACCTACACTGGACCTTCACTATGAATCAGCTTCTGAAGCATTTACTTATATAAGCCTTCCCCCACATCTCATTCCCCAACACTCTAAGGTGGGCATCTGATTGGCTAGCTGACTCAGGTGTGCTTGCTCCTCTATTGTTGGGAGACAGCAGCTTTTCAAAACATTTAGCCTGACATCTGAAAGATAGTGCTTCGAGCTTTACCTGTTGAGAAACTTGATGCGTACTATCACCAGCTGATCAAAACAGTTTCCTGTCTAACAAGAAAAAACAGCTAAAACTCTGCTTTGAATTTACCCATAATGCAATAGTAATGTGCCATTCGCTAAACCTTCCACGAAAATGACGATGAATCATTCATGTGTGTGTGTTTTTGATTTCTGTATCCATTTATTTATTAAATTACAAACTGATCACAGCCCCTGATTACCGACTACTCTCTCTGTTGCATTAGAGACTTCTGCTTCCCTGGTATCAAACTGACCATCACCTCTTTGTGAAAGTTTACCAACGTATAAGAGACAGACGTGTCCCAATTCAGCGGCTAAATCCTTCAAATGATACTGTATACAAATGATGCAGTCTCCATAGATCAGAAATGGTGAACCAAAGAAAAGTTTCCTATTGCATCGTTTAAAAGTTGTGAAAGCTAAGGTCGGCCAATGGCACTGCTCATGCTGTGAAACTCGTTATAGCTTGTTATAGCTTATACTGTAAAACGTTGAAAATGAGCTCAATATTAAATATTGAAATACTGTGAAATACATTATTGAAACATAATGTGAATCTAAAAACATCAGGTATAACCATAACAGCAAAACCATAACATGGATCCGTGTAGTCATTTTCTTTAAATTAGACAACACTATTGCAAAGCAGGGAAATTTCACCGAGCTTCAGCTGTGTATTGACGTCTGGCATCTGGACCCTGTCAACCAGAAATAAAGACGCAAATGAGGGACCACAATGGAGACACGGGTTTCTCTTTTATGACATACACTATGTTGCCAAAACAAGCCATTCACTTTTTTCCTTTTTTTTTTATATATAGCACTAAATCAGTTGCCTCAATGACCTTGTCTTCCACAGGGAGGTAAAGACCCTACAATATTAGAAAACAGAGAAATCCTAACAACCAGCTTTGACCCCCTATGAGCAATTGCATTGGCAACAGTGGGAGGGAAAACCCCCCATTTAACAACATGAAACATCTGGCAGAACCAGGGTCAAGGAGGGGTGGCCATCTGCTGCGACTGGGTGGGGATGAGGGGAGGAACACAGGCCAAAGACACGCTGTGGAAGAGAACCAGAGATTACAAATAACTAATGATTAAATGCAGAGAGGTGTATAAGGATGACACAGAGAGTGAGAAATGTAAAGAAGTGAAGAAACAGAGGCTAACAGAGCATCTTTTGTAACCTTCACAAGTGCTGTTTTTGTACTGTGATGAATTTGGAATTCAGATTGAAACTCTTCAAAAGAAAAAACGTTCCTTTCCATCCGATCAGTGTTTTACAACTACTCTGTGAAGAATGTCTGAGATAAAAGGAAGGTTGGAGATTGGCCTAAGACAGGTGATGGCTTTTTCAGGAATGTTTTCAATTAAAGCCACCCTAAAGGCATACATAGGTTTTTGATCATATTTAATATTAAAGCATTAATTAATTGTTGGACATTTTGGTCTAATAGAACTTGAACAGCTTGAATGGCTTGAATGAAGCAGTAACTGAAATTACTCAGAAAGATCGTATAATGACATGTCTTTGGGATGTTATACAGTTTACTCTAATGGGTAAACTTTTATTTATGAAGAAATTCATGATTATTAATGTTAAAGGAATGCTTGGCTCAACAACTTTGTCTGCCTGGCTGCAGTGATGAAAAAAACCTGCAGTATTTTTCATTTTCTTAGTCAGATTTTCCAACTGGAATCTTGCTTCAGGATGGTAGCAGTGCACATAAACAGGAGTAAAACTTAAACTTTTACTCTGTACTACCACTGTTGTCTTGCACAGAGAACTGACTCTACAAATAAAAATAAACCAACAACAGGTGTTATGCAAGATTGCTTACCAAGAGCAAAACAAATTCTATCTTTCCTCACTTTTACTACTGGAGCAGCTTCCAAGCGCTGTCGACTCAGGAGTCGTGTCACTCTTGGCTCTGACATCCAACTTCAGAGGTAAATGGACGGCAGCATTAACATCTCCAAAGTTGACCCACAGACGTTTGAAGTACCCACAACAGGTCAGGGATGACTTGTTGCCAAGTGGAGGAATTAAAGTATCTTTGGGTCCTGTTCATGAGTAAGGAGGAAGACTGATAGACTGATTGGTGCAGCAATGGAGAAGTTTGACAAATTCATTGCTAACCGGGTCAGGGCAGAACCAGGACATGTGAGATTCACCCATGTGAATCTGGCATTACAGAAATACCATACTGAGAGATCCCCACTGATCATTGCTCTCTTTGTTTCGTGTTATATACAGATCACTCCCCCTGATATGCAGTCTTGCATTAGTCCTGTGCAGAGCCTACACTTTGCAGAATATTGTTTACATGTTGTAGCTGTTTGCTGTCAGCAGGGGGGTTGTGTCACAAACAACTGCAGTGTTGCCAACTCCTCAGTAAGAAAAATCCCTATTGGCTGTCCTAAAAGTTGCTAGAAATCGCAAGATGACGTCATCCCTAAGTTGCCTAATTGGTTATGCTTATGTAATTGTAACCTACTGTTGGATACAGAAATAACATCGTGAAGGAGACATGAAGTGAGTTAAAAAAAAATCCCACTCTAAATGCATTTAGAATATATTTAGAACTACACATTAAATTTATTTTAGCAATTATTGTTTTTTTTATGTCACACTTCCAACCGTCTTCCTTTGTCCGGGCTTGGGACCGGCAAAAGTGACCCGAAATAGATACGTGTGTGTGTGTGTGTGTGTGTGTTTTAAGTAGTTTTAAACTATGTGAGCCACAAAAAGTAACAGTAAAAGAACTGACTGCGTTACAGTCAGGGCGGGAGCAGCGGCTTCGCTGATGCGCGATTCATTTGCCAGTTTGGACGCGTAGGTGTGAACATCTCCTCCTGCTCTGACAGCACCTGGGGCAGGGGTCGGCAACCCGCGGCTCCGGAGCCGCATGCGGCTCTTTAGTCTTTATTTTGCGGCTCCGGGTGGTTTGGAAAAATAAATTAGAAGTATTTAGCTGAAGTGTATTTTATTTGTGTTTAGTTCTTTTTTTTAACTTGTAGTTCTAAATTGGGGATTATTGTAATTTTGAAATATAAAAATAAAATTATATCTTATTATTTTTTCATCGCTCAAAATAAGCGTCACACTCGCGGAAGCCGGTGTACCCGCCGAAACGCCGTGCATTTATCGAGACTTTCAACCCCAGGTAGGCCAATTATGGATCTTCGGATCCTCATTATGTCAGCAGCCATTCTTCACTGTGAACTATGTTAAAAACAAACACCGCTCACGCCTCACAGATGTCCTGCGTAAAGATGAAAGCCCCGATTTGCAGACGCTGTGAACAGAGGTTCGGGACCATAAGTCTTACTGTAAACATATCGATGATTTCATGAGCATGCTTTTCAGCATCTCTTTATTGACCCCTTTTCACACACGGTTGCTGTAGCATACAGCCAGCTGTAGCTTTTCAACAGCAGAGAGGGCACAGACTTTAAGGCAGCGAGGCGTGATTGCGGGTCCCGCTCAGGTGCGTCCGCCTCCCCTGCAGCGGCGCTGCAGACCACGCCCCGCCACACACATTAACCAGGTAAAATACATATTTAGGCAGAATTTTGCAAATATCTATTTTTTTTTAGCATCGTCGTGCTTTTTTTCCAATTATTTTTTAAAAGTCAGGTCAAGGCTCCAAAAGCCCAAAGACGATATAAGGGTGGCGGCTCACAACAGTTTTGTTTGCTACATGGATTATTTTAGTTCAGCTGGGTGTCTTTCCTTTTGTTATATTTCTTTAAGAGTTCAAAATGTGTTAATTACATGAATAAAATGTAATTTCCTCTGTAGCACTTCATGGATTTCATAAGCAACACACCTAAGTTGTTTTGTGGATTCTTTTAAAAAGCAGTTAAAAACCTTTCTGTTCAAACAAGCCTTTTGTTGATCTACGTATTTTATATTCTTTACATTATTTACATTTGATCTTTTACATTGTGTATAATGTCTATTGATCATATTGTTTATTTTAATATTTGTGTACAGCGCTTTGTGACTGCCTGTCTGTGAAAAGCGCTTAATAAATAACTTTACTTACTTAGTTGTTCACACAAAGCATAAAGGTAAAAACAAACAAACAATATATACAGTGGTATCTTCATTTTAGATTTCAAAAAGTATTTGCGGCTCCCAGTGTTTTCTTTTGCGTGGAAACCGGGTCCAAGTGGCTGTTTGGGTGTTAAAGGTTGCAGACCCCTGACCTGGGGGGACTATCTGCCGCCTGTGAGCGCTTTGGCGAGGTGCCCACAGCAGCACCCGCTGCTTGTTGAGAGTAAGAGCGATACGTGGTTTCAAAGTCGTCATAAGTCTTGAAACGTGTTGTCCTCGGCAATGGATAATGGCTGAAAATAAAAACAGGTATCACTTTAGCCTGCTCCTAGTTTTATCAATTCTGCACTCTGCTTTGCAGTCCTCGATATCACTGAAATGCAGCCAGAAGCTGCTATTTTACGTTTTTGTCCGCTTCTTCACTTTTTCCCGACAGGCTCCCCCGTCTGTCTGTGTACCTGGCCTGTACCACTACACTTGCTATTTTAAAACATCTGCCGCCCTTTCTTTCACATCATGTCTTATCACCAACGGTGATGAGACGGCTTACAGGGAGGAGGTCAGCGCCCTGACCCACTGGTGTCAAGACAACCATCTCACCTTCAACGTCGCAAAGACAAAGGAGTTGATAGTGGACTTCCGGAGGTGCAGAGAAGTACACACCCCCATCACCATCAACGGCGCTGCTGTGGAGAGAGTGAGCAGCTTCCGGTTCCTTGGAGTACATCTAGCTGAGGATCTTACGTGGTCAGTACACACAAACAAAACAGTGAAGAAGGCGCAGCAGCGCCTCTTCTTTCTCAGGAGACTGAAAAGATTCGGCATGAGCCCCCGCATCCTCAGGACCTTCTATCACTGTGCCATTGAGAGCATCCTCACTGGATGCATCACCACCTGGTACGGCAACAGCACCGCCTACAACTGCAAAGCTCTCCAGCGAGTAGTGCGGTGCTCTGAACGGATAATTGGAGGTGAGCTTCCCTCCCTCCAAGACATCTACAGGAAGCGCTGCCTGAGGAAAGCGGGGAGGATCATCAAGGACTCCAGTCACCCCAGCCATAAACTGTTCAGACTACTTCCATCAGGAAGGAGGTTCTGCAGCATCCGGTCCCATACCAGCAGACTGAGAGACAGCTTTTTCCATCAGGCCATCAGACTGCTGAACACTTCATAGACACCTCAGCTTCACTACTGGAACTTTAACATTATGCACTCCATACTGTACAGTAATGCCACTTGTTTTGCACATATTCAACTCTGTATATTTTTATATATTTTATTTATTGTTTACTCTATTTAATTTGTAAAATATGTGTACACACACACACACACACACACACACACATAGAAAATATTTAGTATACACATCCAGGAATGCATACACTATTATATATTGTACATATATTTATTAGTTTCAGATGTAGCCATTCTTGTATTTTGCTTGTTTACATTATTGTATTTTGCACAACTCTGTTGCTTGTGAAGCTCGCACACAAGAATTTCACTCACATGTGCTGTACCAATGTACCTGCACATGTGATGTGACAATAAAAGTGATTTGATTTGATAATGGTACGATCGCAGTCTGTCTTTGCATGCGATTGACCGCGTGGTTGTGCCCATCAAAGTAAAGTGCTTTCAACTGGATTCTCAGCAGGGCTGAAGAATCAGCTCCAACATACTGATGGGACATTAATAGCTGAGATATGAAATTCGTTTGACGCCACTTTAATAGAATAAACTAGAATTACTCTCAAATTACTCTCCCATCAACCTGCCCTGGGTCGTACCCCCACCGATCACTCTGTTACCTCTGGGATAGATTGGACCCTCCACCTAAGTGAATTAGATAAGTATTTACAAAAATGGGTAGATGGAAAAGGATGGCCTCAGCAGATGTCTAAACATAAAATGCTACTTAGATTACAGACAGATGACTCCTCCTTTTTAATGATGAGCTTAAATACAAAATGTGCCTTTACTCAAAAACTCAAACTGATCACCAGGAATGTGTTTCTTCTGTGGTTTAATTACTGTTCATGTTTACAGGCAGAAGTTACTGAAGTTTCTCTGCTTAGAAAATAAAAAGTATGAATATGTTAGTTTTAAGATGAACTTTAATCATTCAAGTTTGGACTACAGAGACTCAAAATCCACAGGAATAATCAGCAGAGACATTCACACTACACAGCCCATCAATCAATGATACTGCTCTGTGACATAAACCGGCATGCTTTCTGGCCACTGCTAGGAAGCGGGGCATGAGTTAGGGGTTACTCCCAACAGGAAGTGAGCAGAACTCAGATCAAGGGTCTTGGTCAGGTGGGACTTCAAGAGCTGCAGGTTCCTTAGACAACCTCTGAAGCTGGAGCTCAATGACAGGCAGTTCTGTTTGACACCAGCTACAGCAGAGAGATGGACAGGTTAGAATTATTTTTAGGTGTGTTCATCTTTTTTTTAAATTCTGTTTATGTTCAAAGGGTCTTACCTGGATATCCTCCCAGGAAGACAGGGTTATTAGTTTCAGCAGAGGTGGATTGTGGGTAAGGGTTTGCAGTGGTGTAAGTTCGCTCATCTACAGTTAGGCTGAGGGCATGTTTGGTTTTTTGGGCCAGCAGGCGGTGCCACTGCCCATCACATAGCATCTGGCCACCAGAACGCACTGACACTCGACCTGCCCCATTATTCACGTTGAAAACCACCTGAGGAGAAAAACAGATACACCTTTATTTACGCAAATAAAACTTCATTTGCATATTTAAAACTTAGTTTGCACAATCCTTTTCTATACATCTATTACTTTAGTCAAAAACCAAGAATAACAGAAGCTCTGATGTTACTGCAGCTATTAGAAAGATACCGTGAAAACGTGGCAACTTGCTCAGTTAGATCATTAAATCCCTGGGGTGTAGGCCTATTACTGTTTACATAATGCATAGAATGGAATATCTCTGCTCACCTGTCCATTGATCATCTCCAGTCCCACAGCATCGACTTTTGCACTGCTGATTCCCAGGAGCACTCCTTCTGATTGACTTGTTTGAAATTCCAGAGAGACTGTCATGTCAGAGCCAACCTTATAGCCATCATGGACTGCAGATGGAAACAGCATGTAATCAGATCATAGCTTAATCACGGTTAGAGACAGCTATCCAACACCTGTCTAGTATGTGACGTGCAGCTAGTTCCACACGTTTTTGGACAATGCCACTTTTTTTTCAGTTTTGCCTCTGCACACAAAAATAGTGTTCATTGCCGGAGGAGGAGAATAGTGTAGAGCATGACGTTAAAGTGCAAACTGCATTATGCTGCTAACACAACCTCAGTGCTAGCATGTCATCTGTGCAAAACCCACCCCAGCAGCCACACCCTGAACTTCAACAGGTAACAAAAAGCAGTGATGAGCAGTCAGGCGGCAGCCCGTTTCTACCTGTTCAGGTTTCTGAAGTACAATCAATGTGCTGACTGCTTTAAAGTCTGTGTGTTCTGGTTTTTGTCTTTACTTTCTACTGTCGAGTTTGAGTTCATACCCAGAAAATAAGTCATGTGTGTCCTAATTAGAATAGGGATTTGTGTTGGCCTCGGGTTTATATTGGTTATTTACCAATATAAACAATGCGTTTCAGGTCATTTTACAGAAAAACACAAAAGTAATGTAACCCATAACAATGCTTTTGATATGCTTCTTAGCAATGATGAAGCTAATGAGAACCCAATTAAAACGGATAAGAAATCGAATCGATAAGTGATATTTGCAGTGGAATCGGTGTCGCTAAATTCTTATCAATTGCCATCCGTAGACAGAAGTCAACAAAAATGGATGCTAGTTCTCAAGTGGACCTCTGTGTTTTTGCAGCTGGTGGATTGCTGTAACTTGACAACAATTAGCAACGGTCTGTGCACTCCACCTATACAGTTTATGAAAATGTGCTTTCATTTCTTCATATCTCGGTACACCCATCATCCAAACATTATAACTCTTGCTCCAACTACCTAAAAAACAGGCTCTCAAAATTGTGGCCCAATAAGGAAGCAGCCAAAAGTAACTTCTCATATGAACTATAGGCAAAAACTGTACAGACCATAGGCTGTGAAAAGTCCTTCTATACTAATCAGACCGATCAGTCTGCATCTCATCTTCAGCGCAGATGATTTTGTCTACAAGTTTGACTTACTCATTTCAGCGTATCCGCTTCCATTAAAGTAACTTCCTATCTGGTCTCTGGTGAAACAGGATGTGACACCATGTTGTGACGCCGGCTTAGACACATCCAACATGACACCATTCAGACTGATGGACCGAACACAGCCTGGAAAACTGCTGGTATCCTGAGAACCAAACAGGAAGAAAGACAGGGGGAGACACATGGGAGCAGAAAGGGGGAGAGATTTCCAATAGAGTCAGAATACCTGTGAGTTTCAAAAATGTGCGCAAAGAAAATCTGTCTACATATTAATTCTTAGCACAAAAATTTCTTCCTGTGAAATCAGGACACTCGTGCAAAAGATGTTCAATAACTCAAGAGTTTCTCTTCTAGGTACATAAAATGCTTTTTTAAAACATCAAATAAAATGATTTGATGTATTTGGGGTAATAATGTTTGTGTCTTTTGTGTTTAACGGTGAAAAAATGAAAAACAATCATACTCCGATTCTCCTGCTGGTCATAGTGTGAGGTGTTCCTCCTAGGAAAACTTTGTTGGCCACATCCAGCTGATTTCCTTTGACTGAGATGGATTCAGTTTTCAAACTGTTGACAGACACTGACATCAACCGCCGGCCCACCTCTGCAACCACCTGAGACACGGTGAACACCACAGCATTCAAACAAAGCTATTTTTGTCTTAACACCAAAACCTCAAACACAGGTTGAAATTTACAGAGTTTGACATTGATGCGTCTACAGTGCCTCGTGTCCAATTAACTCACAGTGTGCCACTCTCCATTGTTAACAGCTACAGATGAGGTGATCGAGGCCGGGCCTTTCCCCAAATCAGCTGACATCATCAGCCTGCCCCCCTTTAGGCTGAGGACAACAAAGTCCATCTGCTTGGAGTCGGCGAGAAGGAGGATCAACCCGTCCAGGGCCCAGCTTCGAACTAACAACCTCACCGACACACTGAGGAAGGGAACAGACACAGTAGTGAAGACAAGAGTGAGACACAAACACACCACAGCAGTGTCGGAGATGGAGTGTTATACAAAGATGAAGTGACCTGTCCCCTGTGTGACCCGAGAGTTGCCTCTGTTGCTATGGAAACTCACCTCTTTCTGACTGTGCTTGGGTTGATAATGAAGGTCATGTGACTGTTTCTGGACAAGCCAAACTGAACTGATGACGGCACAAAGGTTAACTCCCCATCTGATGCACACTGCATCACACACATAAATCAAAAACCAATAATCAATAAAAACGGACATATTGATTAAATTAATCAATTAAAATGAATGCACTGAGAATAGGTGATAATGAATATAGTAATTACCGTTAGACCTTCAGGTGACAGGGCACCAAACTGTGTGGGCTGAGGTAGAGGTAAATGAGTAGGGTCTGGAGTTACGTTTACATCCTGGTCATCAGGAAGGAGCACATCCCCAAGCTTCTCCTCCAAGACGCATTTGTCAAACTTCACCCCCTCATATCTCAGAGCTCCTGAAAGGTCAACAAGCCTGCACAGAGCCACAAAATCAAAACTGTTGTTGTCCGAACTCCTTTGGAGAACACAGTCTATGAAGGCTCTTACATGAGATGGTCTAGTCCAAGGAGACCTTAGTCCTTGTAATGCAAAGCACCGCACCTGACTCCTAGGTAACACTGACAGCAGCAGATAACAATCAGGAACCGCCCTAAAATAATTTTACCATTAGAGCCATAAATCCCATTTATTCTTTTTTGACTTAAGGAAATTTGCTTCTGCTGCTGGTGTCTGATGTACAATACTATGCAAAAGTCTTGAGCCAATCCCCATTTCTTTATATTTGGTATGAAAAATTACTGAAACTTGCAAACAATTATGGAAATACAGTATAAAGGGTCAAAAAAGAATTTTAAAGTCAGTATTTAGTATGACCAGCTTTATTCTTTAGCACATCCTAAACTCTCTTTGGTATGATTTCCTGTAAGTTCTTTAAGTAGTGTTCAAGAAAAGCTCTCCAGGCTTTTTGAGGGACATTCTTGGCAAAACAACCTCTTCTGAAGGTCGCAAATTGTAGATCTAATAGTCAGGGGAAACTGCCTGACATTTCAACTACCCAACTGGCTTTAAAAGGTTTGAGATCTAAATCAGCCTTTGAATATCTTAAGTTTGGAAATGAACGCTTTGATTTCTTTGATTGAAAAAGCAGTGGTGTCAGAAAACAGAGACACATCTGTAAACTGCATTTTCAGGAGCCTTCAGATGGGTGCATTCAAAGAAGCTTTTGGCAGGCATTGGAAATATGCAGTCGTTGAATTGGGACACAACTTGGATGTGTAAAACACTTACGCTCTGCCAACTGCCAGGTGTTGGATGCAGCCTTTGAACAACCTAGATATTTTCTGCAATCTGATTGGTAGACGGGCGTCATCAGCTGAAGGCAGCCCACCAATAAATAGAGAGGCTGGAGACAGCCGAGAAAATACACCCGGCAACAGGGACACAAGCTTCTTATGTTCCTCATCAATCTGCACTGAGAGCGACCTGAAAGACAGTTAAGAAAGGCCAGACAGGTGAGATGTGAGAAGAAGCATAAAAGTTAGCATGTTATGCTAATACTTACTTTTTGTTGATGGTAATGATCACAGAATGTTTCATTCTGTCACTGAAGGATCCTCCATCAGGCTTTATCACAGTTACCTTACGTGTGGCTCCGCCCACCTCTCCAAGCTCCACCTCCAATGCGCCCGAGACTAGGTGAACAGATAGGAAGTACTGCACATACAGACACATAGAAAAATTCAGGTTGCAGTGTCACCCACATAGCTTTGTTAGTTCAAATAGACTTGGTATACATGTGACCTAAATCAGTCTCACCTGTTTGTGTGAGCGGTCATTACTGAAAGCAGCCAGCAGGACCCCTGATTGGTTGTTGGAGGAGAAGGAGAAGAGCAACTCTGCTTCTTGACCAAACGATGGTGGAGTGATCTGAACATAGCCTCCAGCCAATAGGGACACACTTCGCACCGCCTGGTCAATACATTAATCAGTCAAACAACTAACCTGTAAATCAATCAAGCTGTTATCCTACGAGTGTGATCAGTGTTCATTACAAATTAACAAAAGTGACCTCAAAGCACTTTAAAATCTAAGATATTTATAGTACAATATTAGAGAGAAAACCCGAAAAATTAGACAATACCCTACGAGCAGTACTTGGCAAGAGTTAAAGGGCAGCAATAACTCGCTTTTAACAGGAAGTGACCTGAGAGAACCAGGCTCAGGATAGTTGGAGCATTTTACAACAACTGGTTGAGGGATTTAGGGGAGACACAAGGGCAAAACACCAACCATGGAGGGGAGAAATACAAATTTAATGTCGCAGTAGTTGTATGGTTCAGGAGTGAAACGAGGAGAGTAGAAACAAATGCCCAGTGCATCATCAGTAGTTTGAGCCTGAATGGTTCAAGGATACCTGTTCCAGTGTTAACTAATAGTTATTTCAAAAAGAGAATCCAAAGTCTAATCCTATGGAGGGTGTCTGTGTCCTGAATCTAAACTTGGATTTTGTTCTACAGCTTTGACAGCTGAAGGCTCTGCTTCCCTGCATACCGAGAGCCAAGTACTAAAGTACTCTATCTGGATAATATGATACTAAGACTTTAAGATATGATGAGGTCTGATCAAGACTTCATATGTGAGAAGAAAATTTAAAATTCAATTACAAGGAGCCAATGAAGAGAAGCTAAAATAAATATGAGCTTTCTCTCACTGCTTTGTCCAACCTCAAAGTAACAAAGGCAGAGGATAGTGGGAAGGAAACAGTCAGGAACAAACCTCCTGCAGAACCAGGCTCGAGGAGGGGCAGCCATCTGCCATGACCTGCTGGTGGTGATAGAAAGTTCTACATATTTGTTTTATATGTGTATTGAAGGACAAAAACAACTCCAAGGTTCTTCACAGTAGTACTGGAAGCCAATGAAACAACTGTTGGACAGTTATTTTATTTCATACTTCAGAAAAATTAACATCAGTTTTGTCTAAATTTACAAGCTGAAAATTACTTGTCATCCAAGGACTTTAGTTCAGTGGATTATTGTGCATTATTATATGTATCAGTACATGCATTTATTAAAACGTGTATATTAGTATATTATTAGCTTGGATCTCAAAAGAGACTTGAGATGAATAGAGATGGAGTCAGGCAGGGCGACAGATATAGTCAATGTAGTATTATGTGCAGCCTTGAGGAAAATTAATTAAACCTTGTGATTCAATAGAATGTAGAAACAATTTTAGCAACAACAACTAATAAATAAAAAAATAATCATTTTCTTTTTCAGTCTCTTGCGTGATTGTGGATTAATTTTGCCCTATTATTCCTTCAGTTCGTGGAGGTTTGTGGGTTTGTTTAAGGTTCTGCCATAGTGTTTCAATCAGGTTCTGGAGTTTCACTGGTCACTTAGTTATGCTGCTGTATTCAGCGGATTACTATATTTTTTCTGACTATATAGGGGCTTGTCTGATTCTTGGGGATTCTTTCAAAAATGTGAGATAAAGACCCTGCAATAGCACTGTGAGTCCAGTATTGTTGTGAATTGGTGCTATATACAGAAAACGGAATCTAAATCAATTCAACTGAACAGATTTCCTGGCATGCTTGGGAATCATTGTCCTGTTGTATGACCCAGTTCGGACCAAGCTTAACTGTTGTGGAAACGGCCTCATATTTGACTCAAGAATACAGAGGAGTTCATGGTAGACTTGATGACTGGAAGGTGCCCAGGTCCTCTTACTGCAAAAGCAAACTAATCACTCCTATGCTACCATGCTTGACAGTTGCTATGAGTTGTGTGTCCTGATTTTCTGTGTTGGTCTTTACCAAACATCGTACTGTGAATTATTGGCAGACATCTCCACTTTGGTCTTGTCTGTCCAAATTTGTAATTCAGTTTCAATTATTTAGTGCAGAAATCACAACTGGTGCTTTATATTCTAATATAAAGACCCTGCAATAATCCTGAGAAAACCCCAACAATCAGATGATGTCCTGTTAGTGAGCAAGAAAAACTCTTCCAACAAGTAGAAGTGGGATAACTGGGGCTTGTATAGTCTGAGCTTACCTTGAGTATGCAGCCTTTCCTGACACCATGTGCATCCCTTAGCAGGTCAAAGTTGGACCGAGCAATCTCCACATTTTTTATACACCCCACGTAAGACCGGGATGCTACTTGTCGCCTAGCAACCAGAGAGATGGCATTCACAGGTGATAACACGGTTCTGGCTATATTATAATCACCTTTGTCTTCAAAAACTCACCTGATTGGTCTGGAAGCAGGAAATCCACCAATGAAGATAGGGTCAAGATCAGAGCGGTTCAGATCAGAGGCCTTTCCAGGAGAGTCCGCTTCCAACACTTCCTTCTCCGATGACTGGTCAGCTGCCATTATGGACAAGTAACCTGGCCACACAGAAAAATGTGAAATAACATTAGCAGTGTGGACACGGAAGAAGCAGCACGAGTATTACTAGGAGTAATAGTAGTACCTTTGCGTTTGTTCCTCTGCAGTGTGATTTTGTACCACACTCCAGTGTTGTACTTCCTGTTGGAGGTCAGCATCAGAGCACCAGAGCCGAGGTCAAAGGTCAAACGAATACGCCCCTCCACCAACTCCATGGACAGGAAGTCTCTCTGTCGATGACAGAAAGTGAGGTATGTGTATGTTTCCTTAAAAATAAGAAGCCCAGCAAAGACTGTAAATGTGTGTGTCGTACAGTGTTGTTGGAGGCCAAGTACAGCAACAATCCGACTGGAGACAGAGTTTTAAACTGCAAAACGATTAACGTGGAAGTAGACCGCAGAGACTTCTGGACCACTGAATAGCCAGATCCATCAAAGTGAAAGGAAGTTTCCTCTGCTTGGGGACTGTGAGTGACACAAAATACAAGTCAGAATTTGCATAAGGAATGTGCAGATTTAGCAAACTGTGTGTGTAACGTGTTTGTGTTGCGTCCATGTAAGTGCTGTGTACACGTAAATATGTTAAAACTTGTGTGAGTACCTGCTGAAGCAGCCGCCACACTCTCCCTCTGTATGGTCATAGTTCCAGAGTCCAATGTTCTGCTCATTCAGTGAAACTTCACCCAGGCAGCCCTGGAAGGTGGTCGATCGCAGTGCCGCAGGCCGCTGAAATCAAACACACCGAGTTAGCCCTTCTTCACCTGCACACAGACGTGCATACCTGATGTGTACCTGTGTATGAGCTCCCAGCCCTGCGATGTAAACAAAGCTGTTTTCGTCGATGTCTAAAACTTGGAAGGTTCCTGGTGATGTTGTTGTTACTGCTGGCAGCAGAGCTGACTCAGAATCCAGCTGATGGACTGACAGTGCAACATGTGATCCAAATCTGCCGGGATCATGACATTGTGGCATACACAAACACAGCTGTAAACCTATATCCACCTGCGTCTTCAATCGTGTGATTAGTTTAAATCGTTTAGTTTAGTTTTGTGGGGGGTTTGTTACCGTGTAGCATTGATCTTTGTCCATCTATTGTTGGTGATATCCAGTCCAGGAAACTCAAGCCGGGTGCTGCCCGAGCCCACATCCCACAGTAGAGAAACCTGTCCATTATGCATCTCAGCAGCCAAGAAGTCCATCTGAAACAACAGCTTCAGTTAGGATGCAGAACGAAACAGTTTCTGTTACTACTCATTAACAGCAAGTTATTGTCTTTACCGTAGTGTTGCTGCCCAGGTAAAAGAGCAGGTTATTTGGAGTGGTCGTCTTGACGATCAGATTCAGAGTGTTGAAGTTACTGGACTGAATCGATGGTCTGTAGGAACGAACACAGCCTCTGTCCGCTTGCAGTGCCACCTTAATCTGACGATGTTACACCACAACACCATCATTATCAAGAGAAATTGTGAGGTCTTTACCTTACAATGTAAAGTGCCTTGAAATAACTGTTGTTGTGGATAATCATAGTCACAGGATTATCCATCCTGGTCACAGATGTCCTAATTCTCTGGTTGAGGCTGCCTTATCTACGGTAAACTGTTTGCTGTTCATTTCTTTCCTGTTTGAGGAGTTTTGTAGACATCTATAATCATTTTGGGACAGTGATAGAAGCCATTGTGTGAGTGTTTACTTACCGATGCTGCCTGTCTGCGGGCCTGATAGATCAGCTCCCGGATGTCAGACAAGTTTCTGCTCAATGTTTCTCCTAACATTCTCATTGGTTTTATTCTGTCCATCAGATGCTGTGTACGATATTCTGCCTCCTCCATCTTATGCTGCATCTCATTGGCTGAGCACACAGGAAACAGGAAGAGTTAGGCTAAAGCTGTCTTATTTAATGAATCATTTCAATGTAAGCAGCTATCTCCTGGAAGTTTTCAGTCTTTTGAATATGTGGCTTTACAGCTGAAGGCCCCATCCAAAGTTGTGTTTCTTAATGTTTACAGGCCTCCCAAATACTGCAAAGACTTTTTTAATGATCTCAGTGAATTGCTGTCTGTGATCTGTGTTGATTTCGACTGTGTAATTATTGTTGGGGATTTTAACATCCATGTGGACAACCCTCAGGACAAAGGGACTAAAGACCTGAGTGACACTCTGGGCAACCTTGGGCTGACGCAGCATGTAACAGAGGCCACACATAATAGAGGACACACTCTCGACCTACTGATCTCCAAAGGCCTGAGCATTTCAGAGGTTACTGTGTCTGATGTGGGCCTGTCTGATCATTACTGTGTTTTCTTTGAAAGTAAAATTTCAGCCCACACAAATACGTCAACAGCAGTGATAACAAAACGGTGTATAACTGAAAACAGTATTGAGATCTTTAACCAGGTCTTCCCATTAACACCTGACCTGCCAGAGGGTCAGTCAATGAGCTCGTCAATAGCTTCAATGCTAAAATGTTAAATGTAATGGACACTATTGCTCCCATTAAGGTGAAGGTTATCTCTGGAAGGAAAAGTCTCCATGGAGAAACTCCACACTGGTGAAAAATGAAAAAAGAGAGTGTAGGAAAGCTGAGCGCAGATGGAGAAAAACAAACCTCCAGGTTCATTATGACATCTATAAAGAGAAACTTCACAATTATAATTTACAACTGAGGAGTGCAAGGAGGTCCTACTTCTCTGACATCATCACTAAAACAGCCATATGCTCGGGTCTTATTTCTACAGTTGACAGGCTAACAAACCCTCCTGTGCCAGTGGCAGCTGAACTTCATTCGACCATGGCCTGCAATGACTTGCCAAATTCTTCACAGAAAAAATCCAAAAGACAAGCAATTGGTACATCAACAGCAGATCCGGAATATGTACTGTGTCCACCGAAAAACTGTTTAAACACCATGAAACAGTTTCCCTACCCTATTAACCCTATTGTACCCTATTAACAGCAAAGACCTGGAGGACATCTTAGGTCAACTGAACTCCTCCTCCTGCTGTTTAGATGTCCTGCCAACAAGTTTTTTCAAAAAGGTCTCAAAGACTTTAGAGTCAGACCTGTTACAGATCGTCAACTTTTCTTTATTATCAGGTGTGTTTCCAGAATCACTAAAAACTGCTGTAATCAAACCTATACTGAAAAAGGACAATCTTGACAAGACACAAATGAACAACTACAGGCCGATCTCAAATCTCCCGTTTTTAAGTAAGATCATTGAAAAAGCAGTTTCCCAACAGCTCAGTTACTTCTTAAAACAGAATAACTGCTACGATGCCTTCCAGTCAGGTTTTAGACAGAACCACAGCACTGAAACTGCTCTGACCAAAGTGTTTAATGACATATGTCTGAATACAGACAGTGGAAAAATGTCAGTCCTAGTTTACTGGATCTCAGTGCAGCATTTGATACAGTTGACCACAACATATTACTCAAACGACTGGAGAACTGGACAGGTCTCTCAGGAACTGTACTAAACTGGTTCAAAACATACTTAGAAACAGGAAATACTTTGTATCAATAGGTAACTTCACATCTGAGCAGACAAGCATCACATGTGGAGTTCCCCAAGGTTCCATCTTGGGACCCCTTCTGTTTAACATTTACATGCTCCCACTGGCACAGATTATAAAGAACAACAAAATAAACTATCACAGCTATGCAGATGACACACAAATATACATCACAATGTCACCAGGAGACCGAGGCCCTGTACAGGCTCTTGGTAAATGCATTGAGGAAATTAATGACTGGTTGTGCCACAATTTTCTAAACAAAACAAAACAAGCTAAACAAAAACAAAACTAAAGTAATAGTCTTTGGTGCCAAAGAAAACGATTACAGGTCACCAGAGAACTTCAATCTGTACACCTAAAAATCACAGACCAGGCGAGAAATTTGGGTGTAGTGATGGATGCAGACCTAAACTTAGAAAAACACATTAAGACAATAACAAAGTCAGCTTACTATCACCTCAAGAATATATCAAGGATAAAGGATCTGATGTCTCAACAGGACCTGGAAAAACTAGTCCATGCATTCATCTTTAGTAGGCTTGACTACTGTAACAGCATCTTTACAGGTCTACCTAAAAAAGCTCATTCAGAGCTCTGCTGCTCGAGTCCTCACTAAGACCAAAAAAGTGGACCACATCAGTCCAGCTCTGAGGTCTTTACACTGGCTGCCTGTCCATCAGAGGATAGACTTTAAAGTTCTGATGCTGGTCTATAAAGCTCTGAATGGTTTAGGACCAAAATACATCAGTGACCTCCTGACCCAGTATGAACCTTCCAGATCCCTCAGGTCATCTGGATCCGGTCTTTTATCAGTTCCCAGAGTCAGAACCAGACACGGAGAAGCTGCATTCAGCTTTTATGCTCCTTATATCTGGAACAAACTCCCAGAAAGCCTCAGGTCAGCTGAAACACTCAGTTTATTTAAATCCAGGTTGAAGACTCACCTGTTCTCAGCTGCATTTGAATAAAGCACCAAATCCACACTTTAAGCTTAAATTTCAAAACTTACATTTAACTACTGATTTTACTGTCTTTTTTATCAATTTTAAATCATGCTTTTTATTGTTTTTGTTTTTAATGTCTCTGTAAAGCACTTTGAATCGCCTTGTTGTTGAATTGTGCTATACAAATAAACTTGCCTTGCCTAAAGATTTGGATTTTTATGAAACCAAATCATTTGCGTAAAATCTTAATGACAAACCTGCAGTGTGTGTAAGAGTCATCAGCTGACTAGTCTCCCTCAATGTATTGTTAGCGTTTTCCACCAAAGAAGAAGAATCCTTCAGCTGTGCTCTGAGTTTCTGCAGCCGCTGCATCGCCTCCTGCAACTTGGAGTGCGCTGCTGCAGCCTGAATCTGGGTCTGCTGCAATGCCTCAGAAGAACCTGATAAACACGAGTATCAGTATTGTATTAGTATCACTGTTTCAATACGTCAGTGCATTAGTACATCACGCATATCAGTCCTTTTACCATTTGAAAGGCTCTGTAACGCTTTGACGGGCTGACGGAGAAGCAAGCTGGAGTTATGAACACTGTCTCTGACAAGTCCAAGTCTGATAGTTACCATGGAAACATTCAGCTGCAGGTCTAAATAAAACAAAGAGGAAAAAGTTTCATCTAAAAGTAGTAATTCAGTCCACACATGGCTGATGTGCAATGATAGTCCAAATCATTGTTTCATAAACAGAAACATTATCACACCTTCAGCCGCACTGCTGATTCTTCGGCTTTCTTCCAAAATATCAGAGGAAACTTCCAGCTTTGCTTTGCCTTCTTTTGACAGTGGCTGCTCCGATTGAACACTCTGAAATACAAATACATATAGGTGTTATACATTTGCATACCAACAGCCTCTCATTTACCTTATTGCACTGCTGTCTCAGGCCAAATACAGACTTACCATGTTTAGGGCTAAGGAGGCAGACACTAGGGCAACTGAAGCCATCCGATGGGCAGAGTCCACTCGTTCTGTGATGTCACTGTCAAACTGAGCCAGCTGACTACCATTCTGAGACACGTTACGCACTGATGACAGAGAACTGAGAGAGAAGAGTTTTTATTTCAGTGGGAAAAAACAGCAGGAGCACACAAACAGAGGAAGAGGAACACAAAATACCTGTGCAAGGAGAGACCATAGCTCTGCAGCAAGTGGGCATGTTTCTCTGCACGGTAAACATTCTCCAGAGCATCGTTTTTCTTCAGCCCCATTACCAAACCATTCACCTGTTTCCTCAGGAGGGGGCGCCCCTGATCCAGCTCAGCAGCCAACATCTCAACCTGCTGATCAGTGTGACATAATTATTATAGCAAGCGTCTGCTGGAAAGCTTTATTATTGACTACTATAGTTTCTCTTACTCTGGTGTGGTTTCTTAACTCCTCCGTCAAACTGACAGCATTTTCAAGCAGCAGCTGGCTGTCCTCCATTTGTGAGTCCAAAGACAGACACGCCACACTTAGGTTCTGATGGCCAGACTGACAGAAAGAGAGAAAGAATAGCAACAAGACGCCTTTGAATTTCAGAAGAATGCTAAGACAATGTCACGCGTGTTTTATAAAGCAGAGAAACAGCAAAAAAAAACGTGAGCTCTGCTCTAGTCTTACTGACCTCTCAATGCTTTTGACTACAAGGCTATTTTGAACATAACAAACACAACAAACTCCACGCAGATTGGCCCTAGCCAACAGGAGATTAGTGATGCTCAAAAACTAGTTAATGCATTTACTTCTTTTATTTTATGTCGAGGTTATATTATCAGGCTATTCTAAAGGTTTCCTGAAAGGCCTTCAGGTGATCCAAACTGTGCCGGGGAGAGACTAGACCAGGGGTGGGCAACTCCAGGCCTCGTGGGCCGGTGTCCCTGCAGGTTTTAGATGTGTCCTTGAACCAACACAGCTGATTTAAATGGCTAAATTAGCTCCTCAACATGTCCTGAAGTTCTCCAGAGGCCTGGTAACAAACTAATCATGTGATTCAGGTGTGTTGACCCAAGGTGAGATCTAAAACCCCCAGGACACCGGCCCTCGAGGCCTGGAATTGCCCACCCCTGGACTAGACTATGATCCTCAACCATGTGCAACTATGCTCTGCACTTCCAGTTTGACTTCAGGAATATTTTTTTAGAGCAATCCAGTAATTTCGCTTCAGCCTGTGGTCTGTATATGTGGACTTACCTGATATAGCTGCAGCAATGTGTGTGCAGTGTCCAGCAGAACGTTTGTTTCTATGTTGTGCTGCACTGCATCATTCAGCGTTGTGTTTGCATGTTGCAGTGTTTTAATGTCAGCAGTAAGTGAAGTAGAGAGACGGCCAAGCTTGTCGCTAGTGGCCACCCTGCTGGACAGGAAGTCGATCTGCACCGATTGAAAGAGAGACTCCGAAAGGCTGGAGAGAGAGAGAGCATGTTAACGCTGTCCTTGTGTGTTTGTGTATCAACTATATTGCTGTGTTGCTCAAACAGACCTGAGCTCCTGATTGGCTACAAGCTCTGCAGCTGTTAGGTTTACATCTTTGATGCTGTTTAATATGGACTCTACGTCCTCCAGCAGATGCGTCTGATTGGCTGAACCCAGTCCTTCCTCTGCAGTCTGATTCAGGTGTGCTGCTTCCCTCTGAAGCACTGAATCAATTACAGTTTTCACGTTTGATTAAAAACAACTTGTTTGCTGTTGGTAATGGTGTCTTCGTTGTTTCATTAATTAATGTGTCATTAAGCATTCATTATTCATCATTCTGATATTCTGTTGTTATTTACCTTGAATGTTGTTTTGAAGTCTGGTGATGCCCTCCAATAGGAGCGCGCCTCGGGAAAAGCTGTTGTTTGTGGACACGTCCACTATCTGGACATCGTTAGACAGACTGTTGACCTAGCCAATCAGGAATTGGGAAAAATTTTCCGATGGGATGGGAAAGAAGTTTTAAAAGACCAGTCAGTTATCAGATGTGGAGAGTACAAAAGTGTTCAGAGCTAGCTAGCAGCTAACTCTAGAATTACTGCAAATGTTATCCACTGTTCCAGGACCCAGTACCATTCTCACATTGTTTGCAATGTGCAATGTATTACAGTAAAAACTAAAGGGGTGAAAACACTCTGAGTGACACACAGAAGGTGGTGTAATGAACCTTTAGCAGACAGGCGGGTGTGCCTACCTGCTGCAGTAGAGAGCCGAGCTCAGAGGTCAAATAATTTAGACCTTCTTCCACTCTAGATGTGGACACTATAACAGAGTTGTTCTGTGAAGACACCACCTGGGGAGACATGTCGTCATCATTTCAGTATGTCGTACATCTCGACATAAGCAACAACTTAATCACATTTTTGTACCTGCATTTCTCTGGTCTGATTCTCCAGCAGCCACAACTGCCGGTATGATGACATTGCAATGGTACTCAGGTTGAAAAACAGGAAGTGATTGTGCAACTCATCCAGGTCATCCAACAAGATACCAGTACATTTGTCATCACATGCTGGAAATAAAAAAAGAACATGTTAGTCACGTGTCTCATGTTAGTGTGTGTCTGTGTGTGTGTGGTGTGTGTGTGTGTATTTACTCACACACGCACTCGCCTTCCTGGAAGATGCTCCTCTTTTCACACTCGTTACATGACTGACCTTTGACCCCATCCTTACATTCACACTCTCCAGTCAGCACGTCACACAGCAAGTGGAGGGAGCCCCATGCACTGCAGCTACACTGTGAACACACACCGCCTGGTACTGATGGGTTACCATAGTAACCAACTGAACACCTGGAGGATGGCAGTGTGAAAACACAGCAAGCAAATTTTCACAATAAAAGTTGCATTAATTAGATGACGACTTCAGTATATAACAAAGGGTCTAAAGACAGATGTGACGTAATGATCTCACCTCTCACAGTATCTCCCTTCATAGCCAGGCTGGCAGGCGGTGCAGCGGAAATCACCTGCTGCTCCTTCCAAAATGCAGGTGGGACTAAAGCTGCACACACACATACAAAAATAACAACATGCCAAAGTTGATCAATACCAAAATTCTGTATTATATCCAGGCATTAATTAACATTAAATATAGCAAGTATGTTTGTATTTTGGACTGTTTGTCAGTTGAAACAAGTTTTTTAAAGTTACTTTGATATAAGTCTGTGAAGGTTCTCAGTCATCCAGGTCATTGTAGTCAAAGGAGCTTGCAAAGAAAAGCGTCTGGACTTCTTTAAGTTGCTTGAAGACATTTCACCTCTCATCCGAGAAGCTTCTTCAGTTCTAAGGTCAAATGGTGGAGAAACTCCCACTAGGTTTAAATCTGGGACTCTCCACCATTTGACCTTAGAACTGAAGAAGCTTCTCGGATGAGAGGTGAAATGTCTTCAAGCAACTTAAAGAAGTCCAGACGCTTTTCTTTGCAAGCTCCTTAGACTACTTTGATATAAGGTTTCCACTTTTTGCTGTTTAGGAGCTGGGCCTAAAAGACACATGCTTAACTTAGCTCATGTATCTTAATAGCCTGTTATATAATAAGCATCATAGGCCTAATTAAGTTTATTTTATATAATAGCCATGCTAACATATCTAATTCCAGCATAAATTTTAAAACTGTGACATTTTAAAACAATTTTACACAATTTAAGAATCATTAAGAAATGAGGCGCAAGATGCTCGATGAAGGTGTGCACCTGTTGTTCAGCAGGGGGCATGCACATGGTGAGCAGTCGCCGATGGATCCTTTGACACTTCCATAATAACCTGAGGCACATTTCTCACAGCTCTGTCCGCTGGTGTGATGCTTACAGTCCTGTGTGAAAAAATACAGACTCTACTAAATTCTGCAGTCTCTTGATATTCTGCGCTGACTATGGTTCTGTCTTTAGTTTGCAATCTCCTCTAAAATGCTCGTATGAATCAGTGTTAGCACGTTACCTGACACTGTCCCGTCTCAGCGTCGCACTTTTCGCTGTGGTTGTTGCAGCGACACCGAACACAGGGGCGAACAAACATCGACTTCTTGCTCTGCGGTGACAACTCAGACTGAGGTTGACGGAAATATCCTACGTCACAATCCTGCAGAAGGATACATGAGAGAGGCAGAGATGTGTCAGGAAATGTCTTTGATGATGGTAGACGTAGTTAAGTGAACTGGGCCTCACTCTGCTTAGTGGAGGAGAGAGGTGCACGTTTCCTGCCTGCCAAATTCAGCTGTGGGCATTTCGTCTCCCTTGCAGAACTGCATGCAGGGATTTCTCTCTGCCTCCAGCACATTCTGTCTGTTCATGTCCATCTCCAACCTCTTCTACTTCTACTCACTTGCCTGTCCCATTCTATGTGAGTCCTTCCTTGGACTGGAAAGATTTTTACAGTACAAACAGTCTTTATTTTATATCTGTTTTATTTTAACTTCTGCTTTAGCTACCTCACATCCATACTTATGACATGATCTAATTTTAATTAACAGAAATGTCTACAGCCTATGCAAGGACACTGGAACTTCTGGAGAAACCCGGACCAGCAGAAATCCACACAGGAAGCTCCCAAATATGTTTGACCCCAGAACCTTCCTGCTGTTAATAGAACCGTCCAAAACCATTAACAATACAAATACAAATTCAAATATAAAATACAAACAGTTCCAGAAAAACATGTATACTGTGTAAAATATATATTTTTTAATGTGCAATGATTTGCAAATCGCATACACCCAAACACAGAACATAGAAAGCATATCAAATGATTAAACTGGGAAAATATTTCAAAAAACTTTAAATATTCCTATGTTTACCATGTTCAGCCATGAACATCTGGGAGAATGCCAGTTCTGGACTTTTGGGAGGGCTGCTGTCCCATTCTTGTCTCATAGAAGATACTACTTCAACAGTCTTGGGCCTTCGTTGCCAGATTTTGTTTTCAGTTGTTGAAAAGTCTGGACTGCAGGCAGGCCTGTTCAGCACCCAGACTTGTCTACTGTGAAGCATTGCTGTTATAATACAGGCAGTGTGCAGTTCGCATTGGCTTGCTTAAATATAATCAAGGCTTTTCATGTAAACAATGTAATCTGTATATGACGTATATGTTGCTGTAAAACCTTACTACACCTTTTAGCAGTGATGTTGCCTGTCCTGTGTAAGCTACCAATTCCATAGGCACTATTAGAACAGTTTCCACTTTGTCTCACTGCATTTTGAATTTGGCCCAGAGATGATGGCAGATATTCTTTTATAATGAGTATGTATGGCCTTTTCTTTGTATGACACAGCTCAAACATGAATTTCAGGATTGCGGAGCGAGCATATACAGTGTTTTCTATGACATGCTTATTTGTAATGCATGTCATAGAAAACATGCAGGGCCCAATGAATTTTCAGTCTTATCCTCGCACATGCATGATTCTTGGAGTCCTTTGATGATATTATATACCAGAGGTGTGGACTCGAGTCACATGACTTGGACTCGAGTCAGACTCGAGTCATTAATTTTATGACTTTAGACTTGACTTGAAAAAATGTTCTAAGACTTGTGACTTGACTTGGACTTTTACACCAATGACTTGGGACTTGAATTGGACTTGACCCGGTTTACTTGAAAAGACTTGATATTTTACCCCAAATATAAAATTTAACATGCATATTATATAGAGATTGAAAATGTGACGTCATTCACGGGTAGAACCGCAAAGGATTCTGGGAACTCGTGGCAAGCGGTACTAGCGCACGCAGGCTTTCAATTAAAATCAGTCACACAGCGATAAAAAGAAACACAAAAATGTCAAGAAGCCGTTGTATTATTAACTGCAATAGCCGGTCGCATGACAGCCACGGGAAGCCGACGGGTAAAGAGATCGGTTGTTATCGGATTACGTCGTTGAAGAGAAATAGTTCGAGCCATGTTTCCGAAGTAACAAAGAGGCGACGGATGGCCTGGATTGCAGCCATTCAAAGATCAAATATAACGTCCCAGAACACTCCAGCTCACAGGTTAGTCTGCTCCAAGCATTTCCACAAAGGTCAGTGTTTTTTAGTAGTTAATACGTCATTTTCATAACATAATTGGTGATATAGGTTACAAGCAAGTCTGGCGCTGAACAGAAATTGTCGCGCTATGCTTCTTTGTTTATTGTGCATAAATAGTGAATTGTCCTGACACAATATTGTGTTTCGCTTCTGTTATTATGGTACATTGACAAAAACATATACTTTTATTCACAGGATAAAACAGGTTTTTTGTATCACTAATTGCCCAGTGCGATTACAGCATACAGTATTATTGTCACTGCTACATTTCTGTGATGCTACCAGAAATTATTTCCACTACTAATTAATTATCGTTGAGCTCAAAGGTCCTATTAATAAACGGTTAAGGAATGTGTATTTATGAAGACAATTTGTGAGACTGGTAAACTTATGATACGTACGATGGTCTTTCGTTCTACACGGTGCATTTCAAGGTCCTGCACCCATCCATCGGTAAACTGTACCTGGGCTTGTTGCAGTGACCTGAAGTTACTAAACTTCATGAGTGTATGCACTCACTCCAAGAACCGTATAATTATAAATATGCATATAAATATGCTAAGATGAGATAGCTGACTTCATCCAACTAGCAAATGTTGTCCAGGCTACGTTGGTGATGCAGTTTTTTTAATATGTATGATATTTTTGTCATGCGATTTTAAAGCTGGTCCTACAACCGCATCCAAGAATAACATGCAGCTTATCTCAGAACTGTCGGTGAAAATTATTCTTGGAGCTAGGTTTAATTGAGCTGCATTTTAAAGAGGTGCAATTTCACAATTTGTGTATATTTTCTAAGTTCACTATTTTGTCATGTGTTGAGAAAAACACAGATTTTAAAATTACATGGTCTAACATTTACATTTAGCATAACTGCAACATCATTTTTTCATTTTTTTTTTTAAAGACTCGAAAGGACTTGAAATTCAAAGTTTCAGACTTGTGACTTGACTCGGACTTTTACACCAGTGACTTGAGACTCGACTCTGACTTGCCTGACATTACTTGAGACTTGACTTGAGACTTGAGGATAAAGACTTGAGACTTACTTGAGACTTGCAAAACAATGACTTGGTCCCACCTCTGTTATATACTGACGAGATTTTCAAGGCTGACGGTCATTATTTTGAAATTACTCAACAATTAGTAGAGCTGGATGTATCGAGACCACTTTTACGTGGTCTTGGTCTTGTCTTGGTCTCGAATCCCTCTGTCTTGTCTTGGTCTTGCTGTCTCAGATCGACATAGTGGTCGGGAGATTTGAAGTCAACAGTATCCATGACACACAATGTAACGTTTGATAATGTGTCATGCGCAAAAGCATCAGCTCTAAGAGCCGTGCTTAGAGAGTGCTTTGTAGTGAATCAGAAGAGTCGACTCCCATTGAGCGAGAGCCGCTCCTCACTTAATTTCCTTTTGCTGCTCAGCTCTCACACAGTGGCTCAGCTATGCTCCAATTCTCCATATTGTGTCCAATCACATGCGAGGATATAGGATAATATCATTATGTGAAAAACAGAGAGGGTGAGAGACACAACAGTCAAGTGGAGCGTGCGTCTGTCCTCTCAGTGAGTGAGTGAGACAGTAGACAGCGGTGAGGAGGGCTGTGCGAGTGCGTCGCAAAAACACATAAATATGCCTGACACCCGTAAGCGAAGCAGCATCTGGCTGCAGTTTAAAGACTTTTTTGTCTTTGTCTTGGTCTTTGTCTTGGTCTCGTCTCGACTTTGTCTTGGTCTTGACTCGGTCTGTCTTGGTCTTGGTATTGTCTGGGTCTTGGTTTAGGCGGTCTTGACTACAAGTCTAACAATTAGTAGATGTAATTTTTTGCTCAACCTCTGCCCATTTGAACTTGTAGGAAAATGCCTCTCTAAGACAATCTTTTTATACCCAGTCATGGTGCTGAGTTGCTGCCACTAAACCTAATAGTTGCAAACCTCCAGCTGTTTCGTTTCAGTGTTATTTACTTTTCCAACCTCATTTTACCTCAATCCAACTGTTTTTGGGGCATATTGCCGTTCAAAATAAGCTAAGATTTTTCATGAAATAAAGTGTTTTGTTTTAGACATTAGATATGTTTCTACTGTTAATAAAATTGATTCTGTTTTTATTTATATTTCACACAACAACCAAACTTTTTTGGAACTGGGTGTCACGGTTCTGGGTCATGTTGACCCAGCTTTCTGTTTCTCATGCTTTGGTGTTTTTCTAGATTATGATTTATGTTCTGATTGATCAGTGATACTGTTTTGATTATGATTATTATTTAGTAGGTTTTGGTCAGTGTCAAGTCTGTCTCTGTCTAGTCCGTGTCTTAGTAAAGTGTGTTTTGTTTCCTGTTTTACTTTGAAGGTTCTTGTTCCTGTCTGATGTCAGTGTTCCAGCTTTGCTCTCCCTGTCTCGTTAGGTCTTATTTCTCCCAGCTGTGTTCCCCTTCTGTCTCTAATTCCTTGATGACTCTCTCAGTGTATTTAAGCCCAGTGTGTCTTTGCGTCAGTGTCGTGTTGTTAATGTCTACTCACCCTCACCGTGTGTTCCATCTGCTAGCATGCCTAGTTTAGTTCTGTATTCCCAGTTTAGTTAAGTTTATGTTCCCTTTTCTGCCCACAATAAAGCTGAGTGTTTTGAGTTTACATCTGCCTCAGAGTCCTGCATTTTGGGTCCTTTCTCCCTGCCTGCCTGCACACAGCCATGACACTGGGGGTAAGTTACTCTTTCCACAAACTGGATAGAAAAGGGTTTCAGTTTTTAGTTAAACTTGATTAGCTAGCTTAATTCACTTGATTAAGTCCAGGTGCAGACCTAGTTAGCCTCGGTAGCCACAACCACGGAAAGGAAGAAAGGGTGCTTTAGATAGTGCCCCACCAGGTATACAGTTGTACCACCACATGGTGATTACCTGACATGACAGTCCAGTGTACCCAGGTGGGCAGACACACGACTCAATCAGTCTGGCTACATTTCCGACTTCTGACTTCTCCACCTCCACTGCCATTTCCATGGTAATGTTAGAGATCCTTAAAAAAACAGCACAAGAAAACTGGTGATCTCACAGCTACCATGACTTGTGGTCACAGACATGTAAAAAATAAATTTCCTGTGGAAGAAGCCCCCAGTTTGGATTCTTCTTGGTCTTTCTGCTGCTTCTAAAAGAAGTCAAAGTTTATTTCTATAGCACATTTAAAAGATAAGCGTACATCAAAGTGCTTCACAATAAAACTGCAATGCGGGCGAAACAAGGAACAAATAATACAAATATAATTAAGACTACATTTAGCGATTTGAACGATTGAATTGATTCCGATGTATGGATATCGACCGGGAGATTACTCCAGTCACTACAGCGGATCATCTGCCTCCATCTCACCTGCATCGTTCCTGTCACACCAACCCTATTCTTGGTCTCCTTCTCCACATCCATCCTCTGAGATCTTCCTCGTTTTCTTCTGCCTGGCAGCTTCAACATCCTTTGATGAATATGTCATATGTCCAAGCCATCTCAGCCTTGCCTTTCTTACTTTCTCTCATCCTGAGCTGTCTGTCAGATATAGTCCTGTCCTCTCTGACCACTTATAATGAAAATCTTTAACTCTGCCACCTCCACCTCCAGCTTTGGCTGTCGTTTTGTCAGCACCACCGTCTCCAAATCATATATCATAGCAGGTCTCACTACCCTTTCCCACTTGCTGCTGTCCCTCTGTCACAGATCACCTCTAACACTTGCACTCTTTTCTTCACCTCTTCAGCGCCTCTTTGTATGTTGCTTTGTCAGTGACTCCAGGTATTTAAACATAACCACCTTCACTATCTCTAATCCTTGCATCGTCACCTTTACCTCTGCATCCCTATCATTCACATGTAAGTATTCTGTCTCGTTTCTACTCACTTTAATTCCTTTTTCTAAGCGCATACCTCCCCCTGCTCCTTGATTTAGCTACAGATCAAAATGTTATCCCACCACTGGGAAAGACACAGTATCTACTTTTAAGGTTAGGAGCTTGGGGCTTGATCAGCCCGAATTATAAACATTCCCACCTTTTACTCTCCATGTGCTTATACATGACTACTGCATTTTATTTCGCCCACAGTTTATTTTTAACCATAATCAGTTATTTTAATACAATGTGTAGTACAGTGTTTACAAATACCTGCTCTGCTGCAGTCTGGTACCATAAGACGCTTTGATGATGATGTACTCAATATTACTGAGGACGGACATGAAGTCAGCGTGACTCACCGACCTCTGTGATACGGAGTTAAAATACTTCCACTTGTGCTGTCACACACACACACACACACACACACACACACACACACACACACACACACACACACACACACACAGTGAGCAGGTTTTCTTTCTAAACATCTGTCTTTATTTTAACATGTTGCTGTACAGCTGTACCTCTGTCAGCCTGATGTCATGCTGAGTCGTGACACCATTGCTTGGAGCAACCATGTCAGTGTATATGGCAAGCTTCCTCAGAGTCCCGCCCCTCATTAGCACCTGAGGCTCCTGATTAGAAAGTCCTGAGCCATCCTCAGCGTGAAAGGTGACAGTGTAAGAAAGCAGTCCGCCATATGATAGTAGCTGGAAAGTGAAAACAACATAAGTACACCACTAAGCACACACAGCAGTTTACGCTACTACTATAATGAAGTGAAAATTGTAAAGTCTAAACCAACACATTTAAAGGTTGCAAGACTAAATCATTCTGTGACTATTTAAACAACCAAAGCACATATTTAAACAGTGTGGGCAACAGCAGCTGTCTGTTAGCCGATTGGGCTGAAGGTACAGTGGAAGCAACGAGACAGTATCAGGCATCAATTTGGATAATAGTACCTGGTTTCCTTCAAACTGAGCGGGGAGCCTCCAGTAGAGCGGGCCTGTCAGCCCGCTGGTGTTGAGCTGACGGGTGTCGAGCAGCATTTCACTGCCCTGACGGTACACTCCAGATACAGTACCCTGCAGGTTTGACTGACTGACCAATGACAGGAATGGAAGAGTGGAGGAGTAAGCCAGGTACACCTGTGAGAAGGGACAGCATGAGGGAGAACTCTTTGGAGCCTTAACTGTGTATGTCATGATGCGTAAACTACAATGATTATGCAAAAGATGTACTCACTGGTACTCTGGTCAGTCCTCCCTGTTCCTCGCAGTCTTGGCTCAGTCCTGAACAGAAACACTGCAAACAACCATCTAGATTTTCAGCTGACAGTCCGAACCAACCAGAAACACACTCTTCACATCGCCGGCCTGAGACCCCAGGCTGAAAAAATACACACACATAGAGGACAAACTCATATTATACCCTACAGAAACATGTGAGCAACATAAAAAGAATTTGAGATTAACAGCAAAGTTTAACTTTCCCAGAGCAATCAAACATTTCAAGCTGTGCAGGAAGCAGTGCAGCACTTGATGCTACTGATGAAGGAAAATCTGCCCACATGTTCAGTTTTTGAGACTGTTTTGCATGTGTATGATTTTGGAATATGGAATTTCATGAGGGTCTTTTTATTATCTTAAGCAGGACCATCACTGATTTGATGAGATCTCTAAACCAGAACTTATATACAAACAAACAACTCACACATTACCTTGCACACACAATTTCCAGTGTTTTGGCAGGAACACACCCCCAAGGTAGCGTTGCAAAAGGTCTCCTCTGTGCCTGCCATGTCACAGCCACAGGCTGAGCATGCTGGGTACCCATAGTAACCAGGTGCACACTGGTCGCATGACTTGCCAAAGAACCCCTCTTTGCACAGACATTGTCCATTGGTCAGGTCACAATGAGGGGAAGAGCTTCCTGCTTCACTGCAGCTGCAAGGCTAAACAGACACTACACAGTTAACCTGTCTCACAAGGTGTGTGTGTGTGTGTGTGTGTGTGTGTGTGTTACCTTGCAGCCTGTGGTGGGGTTATGGCCCCAGTAATTTTTTACACACTTATTGCAGGTCTCTCCCTCTGTGTGGGCGGGGCAGATGCACTCTCCATTCTCAGGGTTACAGTTCCCACCAGTGTGATCACAGGAGCATGCTGGGAGGAGAAAGTAACAATCAATTAGAGACAAATGTCAACAAATCAGCATGAAGACTTGTAGCTTACAGTTTATTACCTATGCAGCCTTTGTCATGGAACCCATAGTAACCCCTACTGCAGCGGTCACATTTGTGTCCAGTCACACCCTCTACACACTGGCACTGCCCCTCCTTATCACATGATTCAAACAGAGATCCTGATTTGTTGCAGCCACATGGCATACAGCCATGGCCACTTTGCAGCCCATAGAATCCTGACTGAAAAACAAGTTTTACACAAAGTATAAATGAAAATAACAAACACAAAACAAAAACAGTGTATGCCACACATGCATGTGTGTCTCTCACCTTGCAGTGGTCACAGGTGCGTCCCGTCACATTCTCTCTGCAGATACACTGGCCTGTTGTGACATTACATTGACTGGAAAGGGCCCCGTTGACATCACAGCCACATTCTGAAAGAAAGCCCCACTTGCTGTCAAAAATTACGTGAAACTTCCTACCCGTTAACAGCCCAGGTCAAGTGACACCACCTCTACAACAGTTTCTTAAAGTTGTTTGCTGTTTACTGACAAACAGTACAGCTTCTAAGAGCTTTTGTGCTTTTGATTCTTTTCTCCTCTCTGTGCTTTCTCTTCCATCTTCTTTCCCCTCACTCTCAACTATTTGCAGCAGCCCTGTGTATGGTTCTCCTTATAGGGGAGTTCTTCCTCTCTACCACAAAGGTAACGGTGCTGCAATTCCTTGAGAAATGCTAATTAAATAAAACTGAATTTTGCTACATTTTTGTATCTGGAAATTCAAGTTTGATTTAAAACAGTTGTGCAGACGAGAATGACTGTGAATCTCAACTCTTTTCAAAGTCTGGAAAATAAGGAAAAATGTACTGCTATAAATTATCAACAGAGTGCAGTTTGATTATGTCACCACTAGATAGTAGTATATGCAATCACAAGTACTGATACACACTCACACATAGTCACAGACAGTCATGTGATAGCAGAACAAAGAGTCCATAGGTCGACTCTAATCTGGATTTGTAAAAGATCAACATTTCAAACAAAGGCAGTGAGTGTTTCTCTGTGTAAGCAATTCTGAGTGCGCCTGGGTGTTAGTTTTTTCCACACTGACTTCACTTTCCAGACTGAGAGCCTATTTTTCACTATGACCCATGATGCTTATTTAAACTATTCATGTATGTTGTGGTTAACATATTTAGTGTTTTGCTGTGATGGTTGAAAGGTCTTGCTTTTTCCTTGCCTGCTAGTCTGCTAGAGTCTGAGGGACATAAATTTCATTACTGTATGGTGAGTGCGAGCGTCCATGCAGAGGTCTGTGTGACAGCCAGTTTTTCTTGACTGTGGACTAATCCATGGAGACTTTAAATTACAATGCACAACTGTGCGTTGGCCTGTATAACAGGAATGACTCAACAGACTGTGTCCATGTCCATGACAGAGTATAATCAAGGCTTAAGAGCCTTCTTTCAGCAGAATGAAACCTCAGGCAGAGCCAGGCTCAGGGACGGGGAGTGATCTACCATGACTGGTTGAGGGCTGAGAAGAAAAATAAAATGCTGCTTTTATTGCAGGGATATTGGAAAATGTGGTACTATGAAGTCTTTAAGAAACAACGTGGCCTGATTATCAGGACTGCATATGTGAGAAAATGATTTTAAATTCAATTCTGGATTTAACAAGAAGCAGGTAACTAGAAGGTGATTTGGGAGAAACATGATCTCTTTTCTAGTTTCTGTTAACACTCAATGTGATGTGGTGGATCAACTGAAGATGAACGAAAGCATAAGAGAACATTATATTTATTTACACACATCCATATCCTGGTCAATAATGATTCCAAAATTTCCCAAGTGTTACTGGAGGCCACGGTAATGCTGTCTCTAATAAGTATACCATTAGACAGCGTGATTAATTTTTTCATGAATTTAGAAGTGGAAAACTCGATCTCATCCAGACTTCTATGTGTTTAAGACATAGCTGCGTGGGTACTATTCACACAGACCATGTGAATGGTCACAGTGGAAGTCGATCACTAACCTTTCAGTGTGAGAAAAACTCACATTAACAAATTGAAATCAATCATGTATCTAAAATGGTAAAATGGCCCATTTAGTCATTAAGTGTGTATGATTACTGATGTCAAAGCAGATATGTGTAACGCACCCCGACAGTCTTTGGTGTGCACAGCATCTCCATAGTACCCAGGCCGACACAACTCGCAGTGTCTCCCTGCTGTGTTTCCGAGGCAACGCAAGCATTCCCCGCTGACAGTATCGCAGTGTCCTGCCTCACTGATGTCCACATTACCGTTACACTCACAGCGAACGCAGGTCCCACCCACTACCTGTGGGTTCCCATAGAAACCACTAGCACACCTGAAGACACAAACCCATGTGTTATGCTGGGTTATCAGTTTATCATTGGGTTGATCGGCTTCTCAATCATACTTACTTCTCACAGTTGGTTCCAGTGTACCCATCCTGACACTGGTCACACAGTACCTGTCCAGATGCATCCAACACACAAGTGGGACTGAACCTAGGGCACAGAGGTGTTCTTACATACTGCCTGTACTAATAAACTTTAATTGGTTTGAATGAGGTCCAATGACAAAGACAAACCTGTTGGATGGTTTCGTTAGAGGGCATGGACACAACTGGCAGTCATCTGTTGTTCCCTCTGTGGCATCACCATAGAAACCCAGAAGACACTGATCACAATGAGGGCCCGTGGTGTTGTGGGTACAGCCCTGAGAAAAGTTAGACGGACGAATCAGTAAAAGGTCAGAGAGAGATGACCACACAGTGGACAGGGAATGAACCATGTGTCAGAACAGCAGGTGAGAAAACGGTTTCTGATTGTTCTGATTGTGACGTGACTCACCACACAAACTCCATTGATGTCACACTCAGCGGCATGATCATTGCATTCACACTGCATACAGTTTCCTCCAAACAAGATTCCACCCACTCTGTAGAAACCTGGTAGGCACGACTAAAACACAAAAATGCACAAACAATTAGGTATTGAACTGATATTACTAAGGATGCACTCCAATTTCACTTTGTCACATACACAGTACAACATGTAATGAAATGCTTGTGTCCCAGCTGCGCATAGGCTGCAGACGTAGCCGCGCCATTCCAGGGCTTGGTTTTAGCATGGGGGGTCTAGCCACGACCCTTATTGGATGCCGGTGGGAACTGTAGTCTTACCACTACACTACCCAGCTGCTGCACTTCAAACTTATTCTGGGCTTAACTGATTAGCAAACAATAAAAACATAGCCCTCACCTGTCCTTGAATTGAGAATTTCATTTAAGGGGCTGAGTCTAAAATAGTGCAAACTCCTCTGTGGTAAGATACTATTTTTATTTTTTTTAATTCTGTCCCTTGAATGTTGAAAGTCTGCATTTCAATAGCATCCAAAATTATGAAAAATAGTTTCAGTCTTAAATAAATTACCTCACAGGAAGTGCCACTGTAACCCCACGGGCATTCACATCTCTCCACAGCAAGTGCTTGAACCTCAGAATGCGAGCTAGCGTCACCGATGTCCAGAGAGACGGAGCTGAGGCTGTGATAGACAGAGACAGTCAATATTCCATCTTCAGCAGTGTTCATACTGATGTTGGGCTCCTCCTGCAGAATTGTGCTGGGGAGATGACTCGGTATGACTCAAGCTTCAGGTTAAGTGAATCTCAGCCTTGCTATCTGAGTCTTTTTAATCTCCAACTCAGCCTTAGATAAGTGATTTGACCATATGTTATCATTTACTTTTCCTCACCGTATCGTTCCGGTGGCGGAGGTATTCAGGTAAACTCTGACAACCAGTGACGTCACATCGGCAAGAACCAATAGCAGGTCATCTCGGGTAACATGCCTGCCTGTTTGGTCATACGCAAATTGCTGCCAGACCATTGGCACGTTAACCAATTGCTCAGCCAGTGTAGAGAGGGATAGTGGGAGAAGACGTGAAAGACGAAGAGCCAAACCATTACCCTGAGAATGAGAGAGTTTCTTCAGTCTGGATGTTGAAGCCCTTCAAGAGACCACTGCTACATTTTCAATATAAAACATGCACTGTGAAAATGTAGATGGTGTCTGATAACAACACAACATACCAATCTAGAGAAATCAAAATAGTGATCTAATCACATGTTTGTTCTCACCTTGATAATGATGTCACAGTGGGCGGACAGGGTGGGGTTTTCAAAGTCAAGTGGAGCATCATAAACCACAAAGTAGTTCAGGAAACCTCCATAAGACAACAGCTACAGACAGAGAGAAGTCAGAAAGTAGATGGAGAGACTGGCATGTGTTTGGCATAATGAGCAAATATGGAAATGGTAGCTTACCTTGTTACCAAGGAAACTTTGGGGTGCCGCCCACCACAGCATTTGTTGGTGGGTGGCACCAGAGGAAATGTTGCTATGAATGGGTATCTCATTGCTGTGAAGTACAGGGGTGGTGGTGATTGTTTCAGAGGGGAAGAGCAAAGCTTCTGCAGTAACCACCTGAAAAAAACAACCCCAACATAATTAGAGGTTCTTCATGATGTAGGCATGCAATATGGTGCTGTTACCTGAACACAGGTATTTTTTACCTGCCCTATGGACAAGCCAGAGCTCTCGCAGACATCAGACACACCAAAGCAGAAGCAGCTGGTACATCCGAGAGGATTGCTCTCCTGGAGGTTAAAAAAACCTGGCTTGCACAGATCACAGTGAGCTCCCATCACATTCTCCTGAGGATGAGAGAACAGGTAAGGTTAGGGACCAGGTGAAACACCAGAAAGCAGGTCAGATATTGAAGAGCAGGTGGTGTTTACCTTGCAGATGCAGGGGCTGCATGGGTCAGTGTTGATGCTGCCTGACAGGCTACACTCACAGCGAAAACACTGAGGAAAATCTCTGTATCCAAACGCACAACGGTCACACTGTTGACCTGCAAACCCCTCCTTACACATGCACTGACCTGCAAGCAAACCTAAACGTACACACACACACACACACACACACACACACACACACACACACACACATCCAAGAAATATAGTTATACTGCAAAAAACTGCTGCAGAACAACAATACTACCGCTACTACTAATAATAAAAATATACTAACCTGGCTGTGTGTTGTCTCTGGCGCAGACTGAAGACTTTGAGCCTCTCAGATCACATTTACATTCAACACATGGAAAGTCAGAATATGGAGAAACCTACACACACACACACATACAGATCATGCAGAGAGACATTCTGAGTCAGGATCTCCAGATATAGTTTTACTTGTGTCAATACTTTAGCAACTCTGTGGTATAAATTGCTGCATTATGTCAATAACCTTAGCCAGTTTGTAATATTGTGTCAGTACCTCAGCAGGTCTGAAGTATCCATCTTTGCAGGTCTCACAGTTGATGCCAGCTGTGTTTTGCTGACAGTTAAAACAAACTCCACCTCCCTGACGAACACCGTGAGTGTTTAAACTCAAAGAGAGTTCAGAGATGGTTTGATTGTAGTAACAGTCGTCTGCTTTATTGTGACAGTTACATTCTGAGAGACAAACAGAGACAGGTTAACAAATAGCACACAAAGAAATGGTACTCAGTGTGTTTAAGGGTGTTTCTTACTTTCACACGTGTTTCCATCGGAGATGGTCCCTGGTTGCCATGGCTGCTGATGGTAACCTGGGCAGCATTCGTTACAGCTTTCTCCACAAGTATTGTGCTCACATACACAATGAAGCTTCTGTACTCACACACACACACACACACACACACACATTTCACCTGGTGAAACACTTTACATATGTTCCAATATACAGATGCTCGGGCGTTTGCCGTTACCTTGCTAACAGGGTCAAGTGGGCAGCTCTGAGCATGTCCATAGCAGATACACATCCCACCCACAGAGATGTCTTTGATGGAATAATAATACTGAGAAACACCGTAACACAAAAGGTATCAGAAAGTACAAGTCAGTTTATTGGTCAAAGATCAACTTTTTGCAGCTTATCTCACCCTCCGAGTGACAATAGGGTCAATATCTCGAGGATCGCGAGCACTCAGGGTCATCAGGTCGGCATTCAGTGTTCGGATTCGCTGAAGTCTCAGTCTGATGTAACGCGCCGACGTAAAATTCAGCAGATCTGAGGTTAAATCATCGGCTCCAGGTCGGCCATTAATTAGGGAGGTATGGATCTGAGAGACAGAAAGAGGCACAAGGAAAAGAAGAAAGGTCAAAGATGGACAGACGCTAAACAGAAAGGGAGACCTGCACATGTGATGTGACAATAAAAAAGTGATTTGATTTGAGACAGATAACATGAGCATAGCAAGTGCAAGCCTCACCTCTCCATGCTCTAGTGGGTTTAATCTGGAATAATAAGATGTACAGATGACCTCTGTATCACTCTTATAGGTTGGTGGTCCCAGTCGTGGTGTGATGTTGTAGCGATATAAACACTCAGAGTCACTGATGGCATAAAATTGCCAGGGCTCAAAGGAAACTCCATCCAGAGACCGCTCAAGGATCCAATTACCTGAGAAACAGACAGATCAGAATAGCAAACATGGAACGATGTCTTAAATATTTACTCTGTGATTGTGTCAAAGGCAGATAAACAGGCAGTACATGGGCCAGTCTCACCTGCTCGAGGAGAATTAGCAGCCTTGATAATGATGTACGCGATCTGAAAAACCTGGACAGCACAAAAGTTCAAAGTTACTCAAAGACTTTGAGTAAAGAACAGAGGATACTGGCACTGTTCATCTGGTTAATGTGTTCCTCTGTGCTTTTATTGTCCCCTCTGGTCATGAAAAGAAAAACAAAACTTTCATTTTTCACATTTTATTCATAAAGCACCATTTGACATCAACAGTTGCCTTTAGGTGCTTTATTTTACAAGGTGAATATTAGAAAGAAAGAAAAACCCCTATAAGCATGCACTTGGTGACAGTAGGAAGGAAAAACTCCCTGTTCACAGGAAGAACCAGGCTCAGGGAGGGGCAGCCACCAGCCACAACCAGTTAGGAGTAAAGGGAAAGAGAAGATGATGCCATAAAGTAAATACAAAATGCAGCTGTTAAAGCCATATAAAGCTATCCAAAGCTCCCTCCCTCCAACACCTGTACGACTCGCCCTAATTGATGGAAGAACACATTTTGCTTTCTACCAGAAAATCCTGAAGGAACATGTCAAGTGTGCATGGCTTACACTGATGATGACGAGTCAACTGTTTGAGTAAAGAAAGGTCATAAATTGGTCTATAGTTGGTGAATTAAGCGATAGCTTTTTAAGTAATGCTTTAATTACTGACACCCCTTTGTATGGAGCTCGTTAATAATAATATTAATCATATTTAAAACTGAGGTATTAATTAATGGGGTCTCAACGGCACACTGATTGTTTAGAAGAATACATTATTGAAGTTAACTCGGAAAGATTGATTGGACAGAAGGAGTCTAAGTAAATATCAGTGGATATTAGAGTTGCTGTACTTGAAATTTTTCCTCTAATGGTTGCATTTTTATCTGTGATCATTCTTTATGTTTTAGTCTGTGTGGGTCTTACTTGTGTTTGTGTTACCTGTTTCAAATCCAGTGTGATGGTAATCCAGTGAAACTGTTGTCCATTCTTGATACTTGGACTTTGCCACCACCGATTGGTTCCATCAATAGCATTTGTGATTGGATGACGTTCTGCACACAGAGATGACTACTGTAGTAGTGCACTGGAATTTCATAGCTAAGTGCAAATGGTACTTTACTGATGCTGCAAAATGTTTAATTTGAAGGTAAAATGTGAATTCATTTGGATAATTTGAAGTGATCTGTGTGATTCTGGTTCTGGATTAAAGCAAACTGGATCTTTGATGTAAAGAAGAATCTGGAGTCTTGTCTCGTACCTCTGGACAGAACGGAGTTGGCATCACATTTGAGACAGTGTGGGTTCTTTATCCTCCGTCCTGGAACGTGCTCCACCAGCTTGCAGTAGACTTCAGGTTCTGGGTCTCCACATGTTGCATTACTGCTGATTACTGCATTACTGGCCAGATTCAATATGGCAGGAAACAGACCTGTAGTACAGTTACATTAGAATGATATAAGGGGAGACATTAGTGATCTGATGAGTGAATGAATAGATTAGTTCAGGTCTTTTTACAGGTATGCTCTCAGATGAGTCACTGTCTAAAACCTCGGTGTTACTCTTGTGAGATCTGACTTGTTTTTGTAATAAAAAGACAATTCTGAATGTTTACTCTATAACCTTTATTTTGAAACCTCCTCACATAAGAGCAGAATATTTGCATCTTTAGGTGAGCAGTCTCAATGGATACTCAGTGATTACATCTCCAGGCCTCAAAGCCTAAATATATTAGAGCCATAAACAAGTAAAGTCTCTCAGACACTACTGAAACCCATCTACCCCCACAGCCTACCACCTCACCAATCACACAGACACACACAGTCTATTGACTCAGCTGCAGTTTCCCACTGAGATTCTCACTGTGTTGGTTAAAAATCTGAATTTAAGAACCATGGGACTCTGAAACAGTGTGCATAGGTTTTTAGTATTGAACAAAACAAACACATGAACCAACATGTGTTTGTTTTTTGAAAATCAATCTGGGTCAGAGGTCAAAGGTTGATCTGTTTCTTTTCTGAGTGACTCATTCTTCAATATCTTTTAGTATATACACACACACATATATATATATATATATATATATATATATATATATATATATATATATATATATATACATATATATATATATAAGCATTTTTTTAATTGAGAATGTTCACATAGGTAGCGAGGAATACAGATGTTATATCCTCAGGGTTCAAATACGTGGAACCAAAGTCTGATTGGAGCAAATTATTTAAGGCGAGAGAGAATCGAACAACAGTGGAGGGGTTAATAAAATATGCGATCTATACGAGTCCACTGTGTGTGATGCTTTGTCACTATTATTATGCTATAATGCTGGTGCTGCTGGTACCTTGCAGTGAAATGTTGCTCTGTACTTAGTTTATATATTTTACATACAAAACATTACATCTGACTGTTTGTGTGTTGGGATGTGTTAAGTCAGCCATTTTAGGTTCAGGATGACCTGTCACCCTTCCCCCAACACACACACACACACACACACACACACACACAGAGGTATTTAGGTTGTAGAGATTTGTCTATATGTGTTGTGTTGTGTGTGTTTGGGGGTGGTGATCTCTGGGGAGCGAGGAAGGAGAGAAGAGTGTGACTGTAAACACTAATTCTTGATCTCTCTCCCTCTCCTTGTCTTTTGTCAGACACACACACACACACACACACACACACACACACACACACACACACACACACACACACACACACTGTTCCACTGATTCATTCATGAGCCAGTGAGAAGAGAAGTAAAAGTGCATGCCTGAACAGATTCGGGGTGATGAATATGATGATAAAGATAACATCACAGGTGCTCAAGCTTTAATCCAGATCAGATTTCCAGATATTTGACCTCTGATGGAGAAGTGGAGCTTAATCCCAAAGTTATTTGTCTCGAGTCTGCTGACTGAAACTTTTACAGAAAGAGGTCAGGGTGCATAAATGTTCCTTAAATCAGAACAAACTGACCATGACCGAAGACAAAACAAAGATAACAGTAGCATGTTCACTACATTACACTATTCAAAATACCCACAGCGATGAAGACTCAAGGACTCAAAGATGCACATGTGATTTGTTATAACAGTAACACACACACAGCTGAAAGGGAAACATACTTTAAACTATAGCAGAATACTACAGTCAAACTACTTTGGGAAACAAGAATAAAAGTACATTCTGCTTAAATCATCGACATTAGAGCCAGCTCTAATCCCACTGATCAGGCTGCAGAGCTGCGATGGGTTCAACAGTGCTTAAACAGATGTGTAACCCTGAAAATAAAAACTTTTTCAGTGTTCCTCTCTGAGATTTTTTGAATCTGTGAAGTTACTTGAGAATAAGAATTCAAAGCAGCTGTTAGAACTCAGCAAACTTTTTAAAAAGGTGTCTCACCTCTGTGCTGAGCGGTGGCTTGCCCCATCAACAACAAAAGCAGCAGCACTTTCATCCTCACACCCTTGAGTCAAATCTGAGTGTCGCTGTTATTTCGCGAGTGTTTGCTCCATGCAGCAGAACTAGAATTAACTGGTAGAATCAATGTGGCTCATAGGAATGCTTGCTGCAGAGTGCCTGAACACCACAGTGACTCCAACTCACACTACCCCTCCCCCTAACCCCTTTCTCATTCATTCAGCCCAAAAGGGCTTGTATGGGGTGGGGGGGATGTACCATTTGATCTTTGGGGGAGGGTGGTAAGGGCCTTTTTTTTGTACACTTTTTTAAGCATTAATGTAAACAATAAAGGAGAAACTGTAAACACTCTTTGCTTCATTTATTTTGTATTTAATTTTGGCAGTTGTTTACAAGATGTTGTTGTTTACTGGGTCCTGCAGGATTTCATTTCCGTTCCATAAATTAAACAGAATCAAAGCAACAAAGCTTCTTCAAAAAATCACTGATGTGAGATGAAAATCATGCAGTTTAGTATCAATGTGCACTTAGGTCATGAGACTGTAAAAGGGCAGCTACAATAATAGCACATTGGCCAACTATATAAGTTAACACACTTAACAAAGTCATAGCCCTACCATTAAGACACAGAGAATCTGACAGACTATAAATGAGAATGTTTTAATAAATTAAAAGACAATTTTTTTTCTCAGGTGCAGCCTTGGTGGTGTTTAATAGTTTGAAGCATATTAAAGTTGATACAACAATAAAATAAAAAGTTTGATGATAAAGTTGTTTCTAAGAATTCCTATCTGTCACTGATCATCCGGGAAATGCAACGATGATGCTACTGGAAAACTTTAGGCCCTCTGGACACAGAGGTCCAAGGAATGCTGCCGCTATATTCTAGGGAACTGATTGGTCAGTAGACAGTGATTTCAAACCTGCTGATCTTTAGTCTAACCCGCTCTGAAGCAGATAAGGTTTGCAGCATAAATTATACCCTAATAAGACGTGAACCCCGGGTTAACCCTGAAGTTACCAAGATAAGACAAAAAGCTGCTTCAGCCCTCAGGTCATTTACACCTATCAGTGACTGCCACTGAATCTGTAGGTCCAAGAGCTCTGGATTAAAAGTAAAACATGAGAAGAATTATTACAGTGTAAAGAGCAGAGGAGAAGAATGAGTTTTACGTTTCCTAGTTTAAACTGAAAGGAGGAAAAGGTTAAATTGCATTAAAACAGCAGCCTGTTCCTTTAACTGCCCCCCTTCGCTGCAGAAGCTCTAAAGCATTGTCTTCATTGCTAGACAGGCAGACTGTACCATCTATCAGGGGGTACAACTATATCATTCAGGCTTTTGTTTCACCAGTTTAATTGCTTTTCACTTCTGTAATTCTGAGAATGTTACAGGTGAGCAAAACACACATATATTTCCCATTTATACCATTTGTGTTTTTACTATTTATATTTCCTCTACAATTTCTGTTTCACACACAACCATCATCTGGTTATTACTTTTTTGGTGCCTGCCGATAATACTTAGGTAATATATAATAATAGTAGATATTTATCTTTCACAACAGTTCACAACCTGTCAAGCTTAGTTTTTTTTATGGTTTATTTGTATAAAATTTTGCTGGCCTTTGACTCTGCTGATGAATGTGTTAGGACCACTGAAATGGGACTGCCGACAAGAGGCCCAACCATAACCCCAAGTCTATGAAGTTTGGGAAATAACTTGAGATGCAGCAGTTCTGATTTTCACGAACTATAACCCATTATCATTAAAATGTAAATTAATTCATTAAAAACAATTTCAAAGTGAAACATTTCACTTTATCTTTAGTATATGATGTAAATATATGTAAAAAGGTTTTTCACAGTAGTATGATTTTTGAGGTGTTTTCCTGTTTATCAATCTTTGAATGAGCTTTAACAGAGCTGTGTAACATATGATTAACTCTAAAATGATGAGTCTGTGATAGCTCAGATGTCTGGATGTCTGCTCTCGTCTGAGTCATGACACTGCCCTTAGGTAGTGAGTGTTGCATCAGTCGTGGCTCAGCATGGGGCAGATTATAACGTGATTCGTGTAGACTTTGGAAGAAAAAACAAATCCAGTTCTTCCACTGCCTAACAAAACAAAATTGACCACTTTAAAGCAAACTGACAGTTTCACGGTTTTTGTGCTGCATCTTGTATGCTCGTTGCATGAACAACTTTACCCTTCTGTGCTCCTTCCTGACCTAAGAAAAAAAGGTCCTAGTAATAGTACCATTGTTCCTTTACTAAAACTAGCAACAAACTACTTCATCTTGCTAAACATACAGTTTGCTAATTATTTGATCCCATGCTGAATTTTTAAGTTTGGTCACTTACAAAAACAAAACAAAAGCCTCTAGTTTTGTGGTAGTTTCATTTTAATGGAGAGAGACGACACACATTACATAAAAGTTATAAATCAATTTGTGTGTCATTAAGTATAACTATTCGATCCCCTGCAGTCCAGCCAGAATTCTGGCTCCAACAGATTGGTTGTGTGCCCATCAGGCACTTACATTATAATCAGTCAGTCAATCAATCAGTTGCAGACACTCCTGATCTCAACTCGTTATGTGTAGAAAGCATCATAGAAACAATTTGTTCCATTCCAACCTCTTCTGGTCATGAGCGACAAGACTGGGGACCTGCACAAAGCTGTAAAAGCTACCAGACATTCAACAAGAAGCTTGGTGAGAAAATGACCACTGTTAGTACGATTATTCAGAAATAAAAGAAATGTAGAATGACCATTTGTGTCACGGCCCTGCGTTGGTGACCAAGTGTTGATTTCATCATGGTTCATCACTGTTACTTTTAGCTCCCTAAGTTTTCTAGTATTCCTTGAATTCTAGTTCTTGGGTCGTGTTCCTGTGCCCCTCATGTTTAGTGTAGGTTTAGTTCTGCCTTCATGTTTATTTTCTTGTTCCCCAGTCAGTTATGTCTCATGTCACTCCTGTCCCTGTGCTCCGTTCCTCTGTGCCTGCCATGTGTTTCCTGTTTTACTTTGATAGTCCCTGTCCTGTGTTCAGTGTTTTGAGTTTTAGTCCCAGCTGTGTTTCCCCATCCTCTTGTTATGCTGTGTATTTTAGCCCTCAGTATTTAGTAGTTTAGTTCGAATTACTAGCTCCTCGCTTTCAGGTTTTGTTTTCTGTAGGAAGAACCATTTACAGTCAAAATAAAGCTGCCTTCCATGAGTCTTGCTTTTGGGTCCTACATCCTGCCGGCCACACAGCAAACCATGACAATTTGTCTGGAGATCTGTGCAAGACCTTGCCTCACAGGGTAATGATGATCATGAGATCAGCCCAAAACTGTGCCATTATGGACTGAAATGTTGACGTGCTTGCAAGATCCCTCTTCTCAAAGGGGCACATGCACAGGCCTGTCTTAAGTTTTCCAATAAACATCTAGACAAACATCTTTATCACTGCTAAAATATGAGAACCAATAAAACAAATATAATACGCAAAGCTGTCATTATTAATGTTTAAAGCATGTTGATTTGATTGACACCTTTATTTGTCACCATGTCAAAAAATAAGTGTGGTTTGTGACATCTAACTCATCAGCAGGTGAGTGAGGTTGATGCAGCAGCATTCTGCTTTACAAGCAGCACCTGATATAAAAATGACTGAGCACACTGTTGCATTTCTTGAATTATATATTTATTATAACACGGCATTATGACATAGCTTTAGTAATGGTGTGTGTGTGAGGGAGAGAGACAGAGATGAAGAAAGAGAGCATCCTCTCAGCTGGTCCAGGTGAGTCTGAATCCTGAAGGTAGGGTGGAGTACTGGCCTTGGAAAACAACATAGACTTGGTGGGCAGTGGCTGTGAATGGAGCAATGTTGGTTTCCTGAACAAACAACACAGAAATAGGAGAAACTTACATTTTTATACTGAAACTATCAACAGTGACTCACTCTAAATAGCTAAGAAACAGGAAAAAAAAAACACATTACCAATCATAGTTACCAAAGTACAATGTCTGTGCTTTATTCTGACAAAGAATTCAAAGAAAACATTATATCTATATGGAAATGAACACAATACAACTCTAAATACTGAAGAAAAAATTCTAATTATATATTATTTTTGCATGACACCATAATCTATTGCAAAGTGAATAGGTAAATAAGTACACTAGTTACCTTATACTGCACACTCAATCTGAACTTTTTGTTATTGTAATTTTATAAACAGTACACCTGCACAATGACTGTAACTAGCAAAACCACCTAAATATGAGACATTAGCTCAGTTTTGTGATTGTTAATATTCAAACTGTCAGAGTTAAAGAGGGAACGGCTGCAATCACAGCATTTTTTTTCAGTTGGTGAAAGATGGACTTTCAAAACGTGTTACTTTGGTGCAACATGTTTTGGGGTTTGAAAGTCGCAGAGACACAGTGTTTTGAAAATATGTATCTTATTTGTTTGACACTGTTATCCTGGTGCTTGCTGTTTTTTGGAATTTTGATAAGTTTGTGATCTGGACGATATTAGCCATAATAAAGACTTGTCTTGTGTCAACTACAAGTCTCAGTCTGGGTCATATCTCTCTGCATTTCATGACAGAATGATACAACCACATGATGGACCCAGTAAGTGGAGTGTTCAGTTATGAGGACTTCTTTACCCCAAGTAATCAATTTATAGCTTTTTCTGTTACAGATGTAGTAAAACTACATTACCATTGAAAAATATATGCTTAATAGTTTATTTCTACATTGTTAATACCCTGACCAGACTCACCTAACCTATTTTGTGAAGCCCTTATAATGCTCTTTAAATAATAGCATTATTATACCACACAGGTCCATAACAAAGACAACACCGGACACTAGATGTCAGAGGTTTGAATAGGACGGGTTTGACTTGTCTCTTTCTACTGAGCTTTTGATCACTCGTACCTAATCTGGAACGCTAAGTCCGTAAAATCTTTCTGACATATGCAATGCAGTAAAATGTATAAAAACCGTATTATGTCAAGATTACAATAATGCTCTTTAACATACCACACCACAGTAAGGTCCAACAAACTGTGAAGAGGTATCTGGGCCATCGTACAACTTCAAGAAGTTGTTCTGACAATCTCCAGGATCATCAAT